ATACACATATAACCGACATCCAAGGTTAGGTGATTTACTAATATCTCTCCAGCTACCTATGCTCTAGAGACTATCCACCAGATAGTGAACGCTTGTCCTATTCTCCATGTATCCTTCAACGTTCCTAACTCCCCCTTTCCCACGATCCTGCCTATGATAGGACAGATGGGCTCGTTTGACCGGCCTAGCGCGGATACCGGGGATGTACTCGAGCTTTATCTCCACGGGTACGTTTCATCGCGGTTCGTGAACATGTCGCGAAACGCCACCAACGACAGCGCCTCGCCAGGGGAAGAAGAGGGACTGCCAATATGTGTGGCTGCCAGCCAAGTGGATGGTCTGGTCCTATCGCTCACTCCGAACTCGCACAGTTACAACTACCGTTCGGCATCACTGTTCGGGTATGCGAAACTAGTAACTGATATCGAGGAGAAGCAATACGCCATGGAACTCATCACCAACTCCGTAGTCCGCGACCGCTACCGGCACACTCGCGTCCCGCCCAACGCGGCCGAGATGCAGAGCACCAGTGTCCTACGAGTCAAGATCTCCGCCGGCAGCGCCAAGCTCAGGACTGGCACGCCTAAGGATGACACGGCAGATATGGAGAACGGCGAGCTACTGGACAGGGTGTGGACAGGTGTAGTCCCCGTGCATTACACCCTGGGAGAACCAATCCCTGGGCCCTATAATAGGGTAAAGCAGGTGCCTTCGTACCTGCGGGAGTTCGTCACGGATTCTAATCGCTATGCGAAGGAGCTGGCTGTTGAGGATGCTATGAAGCCAATGGCGGCGAAGCCGAAACATCATGATGATGATGATGACTGATTTCGCTCTAGTTCGTGGTGCTTTTTCCTAATTGTTAAGCATTGTGCTTGTTGTTGTCATGAAAGAATCTCGAAGTTGAAATTGGCTAGCTTTATATTGATTCCGTTGCTTTTAAATCATCACCTCGATCTTTAAATATTGCAATTTTCTCATATTAATAACGAAATAACGCATGTTTTAATGTATTGGTGAAATTTAATTTATGATATTACTCTCAGGTTGTTAGGATCTAGACCATCCTATACTAGGCTATAAGTTAAGTAAAATATGCTGTCGTATCGGCCCTCACAGCTTACTATATGCATAGGTGCCTACCTAGGTGCCGATGAGATACCTAAAGTAGTAGAGATTAATTGTACATACTATCGGTTAGTGAAATGATTGGCTGTTTACTCGTCCAAGGTCTACTCATGTTCGCATTTTCCAACATCTAACATGTTTCTCTACCCACCAGTATTTTTCTCAGTAATTATTAGAGTATCATTTGCTGCCTTTTTAGTAAATTTCAATTTCCCGTCTATTGAATAGCAGTGTTATCACAATTACAGTAACTCCAAACGTTTTGCTCTATTGTTTCATTAATATGGAGGCTTTAGCAGCCCTAGGTGTTGCTATAGCCCATGTTAGTTAAAACTATCTTACTCGATGCTCTTAACACCGAGGATCTGGGCCAGCCGATCGAACCGGGATTCTTAGATATAGTAGATAGAACCTTGGCTTATCACTGGCAAACTGCTGCTACGAATCCACGGGAGACGGCCCTTATATATGGGTTGGGAGACTGGAAGAATGTCGGCGTTGGAGGACATTGGGTGAGAATGTTATTGCCCAGTACATATTTGGGGTTAGTATTATTCCAATACTTGCCAATTTTACCAACCTAGGATTTCTGGGCGTTATAGTCATATTACCCCTTCCCTACTATCTCGAGGCTTGGCTATGGGAAACATCACTTCATATACAAGTCAAAATTGACATTTGTATGAAACTATTACTCGGATGGCCCCATGAGAGGTTCGAGTTCCACCGGGAGGAAGAAAGTATGGCCAGGTTTTATCGGCGACCTAGAACATTATGGGTTGTTTACGGACGAGGGTTATGGACCGCATCCAAAACTGATTGTAAAAATTCTTTTGGATGCTGGAGCAAATCCCAATGCGACCATAGGGAAGATAGGGAGACTCCGTCAGCATTCCAGACCTTCTTAGTTCTTGCCTCTGGGACAAGTCTAGAAGATGGAATTGCTGCTGGCCAAGACTATCACCTCCTAGGTCTTTTCCTATCTCATGGAGCATCGAGCAGTCAAACCTTTTCATACGACAATTTGAATATGGTTATGAAAACGGGTACAGGGGGGTCCAAAGTGCTACAAACACCATTAGAATTTCTAGAGGAACTATACAAGGAGGAGCCAACGGCGTCCCTGAACAAACTCCTCTTGATATTACGTTCTTACACTGAAGAAAGCATGGCCTGTTCTAATCAACGGCGTGCCACTGCACCTCCTCAGGAATTAGATATCTGTGACTTAGGGGTAACTCAGCCACCTATGGAAGCAGATCTAATGTCAGGATCACCACAGGAGAAGGACTAAACACCACGAACTAAAGCTATAGTTATACCTTTCAGAAAGTTCTCCTATAGTGATATACGATAAGCCACAGCTTGCCCTTCCGCCTGAGTTCCTTTGGCGTGATTCGGCCTAATCCCCACGGAAGAAAAGGACGCATGTTGATTTTTTGATAGAAAATACACGCCCTGGATTGAAAATGACCATACACTATTTACACGGACTAGATTATATATATGCTACATAGTTTATCATGGGCAAGTGCATTGAATACTCGTGGCGTTATCGCGCTCACCAATTCTGCCAGATAGAAATCGGTAACACGGTCCGCATTACAGCCCAATGGCCCAAAGCGCCCTGATCGTGCCACTTCTCCAGCTTCTCGGTCTCGTTCACTCTGAGAACCCCCGCGTCAGCAGCAGCAGCCAAGAAAGCCGATTCTTTCACCTCGTGCTTGGGTAAGAGGTATGCCCTCCTGGCCAGACTGCCGAGGTAGTCGGCTTCGGTGGGTTTTCGGAACGTGACTTTCTCTCCCGTCTTGGTACAAAAGACGATGACGTTGTCGAAATCGCGACCGGCCTCTTGAACTACTTCTGCAGGAGGAGCCTCGCTTTCTCTGAAGATGCGGCATGAGGGGAAGACTTCCCTAATCGTATTCATTACAATACTAAGAGGAGGTAGAGTGAAATCGCCAGCATAGTTCTAAAATCATTAGTTTTAATGGTATTAATATGCATATACGCAAGAAGGCTTACAATAGCGATCACACCATTAGGCTTTAGCATGTGTCTTAAGCCTGATAAGAATTCGTAGGTAAATAAAGGTATTGGCTCTGCGCCACCCGTGAAGACGTCATGAATAATATAGTCGTAATATTCGTGGAGGATATCTTTATTAGACTGGCTCCAGGAGATTGCGTCTTGAATCACGGCTGTATGATTCAGGGGTAGCCCGAAATATTTCTTGGCGAAATCGTATACCACAGGATCGATCTCGACAATGGTCGTGTCTATACCATGAGCTATCAAGGCCGATGGTGTAGTTCCGATACCAAGGCCACTAAGATATTATGAGTAAAAGAAAAATATTTATAAAAAAGCGTTACTTACATATTTAGAGCTTTTGCCTCATTATCGGGTGCTTTATTTGGAATTGGAATGAGACGCACTGCTTCGAGTTGAGTAAAGACGCTGTATATGGGTTCCGCAACTATTTTCCGCCCAAATTTGGTCCACTCGCCGCCAAGTAGACTGTGGTCACACCTCATAGCTCGGAAGCCGTCGTTATGATTGTTCAGGACTGAGATGTACCCAGTGTTGGACTCCCATCGATCAACTAATGACCACCCACTGGCCTGTAGGGTTGCGTTTAGAGAGCTAGTAGCCATCGGGGTCATGAGATGCGTATTGTAAAAACCAGCATGCAGGATCGCCGGGATGGCCCAGACGAGGAGCTTCGACCGGGCCATGATGCTATAAGTCGCAGCTAGTACCAACTCCAAACCCACACGCGTCTGCGGCAGCGATTTACCAATCTGTTCAAATAGTTGCTGTAGCGTTTCCTTTTCAACAAACTTGAAGAATGCATATGAACCTAGACCTGGCGCGGAGCTGGCAATGGATTTCGGCAAGATGCTCAGATCAGCGTTTTCAAGAACGTCTGCTATGCACGCCGTACTAACTACGACGAGAGGGAATAACGTAAGAGCCTCGGTGATAGCTGGTCCTAGCTCCGCACCGAAGGTCTCGCTCGCCTGGAAGAGGAAAAACTGGGCCATAGGGACATATGCTGCTACCAGGGGTAGTAGAGAAATCGTCTTGAAAGGCAAGGTGCGTCTTAGAACAACATTAACTCCCCATCCTACGAACAAAGCCGACCATACTACTCTCTGATGTAGTCTAGTTGCAGCAATTTGGCCGTAGACAGGCGACAGCGTCAGCTGAGAGACATTGGCATAGACGGCCATGAGTATGATCAGGGCTGCGGCCTTTACATAAACAATAGCCTGCTCAATAGCCCAATTGATCCAATTTTCCTCCTTAGCTTGGCCGGCTAGGACCTTAAGTTCCTCTTCAAATTCTTCCTTGGTCTCCGCAGGTTTCTTTGGTCCTTTAGCTCCCGTTTGAGACGCCCCCTTTTTCGGGGTCTGTTTTCGTGGAGGCATGATGAGAATAATAAAAGAAAATCAGATAAATTCGCTGGTTAATATGCAAACATGCAGAACAATTATAGCTACAAAATTAATGAAGAATGGGAATTATGGCTCTTAACAGCCTGCTGTTAGGGCTCTCATATCCTCTATCTTACTTCTTGTATGATATTGTAGTGTTTTTATAAGCTAAGAGGATCGAAGTGAACAGATGTCTTGATAATTCAATAAGACGGAGTTCTTTACAAGCCATTTTTGGTGGATCTGTGGCAGTGTAGATACATAGGTACATATTTGGGGACATAATTGTGGCTAGTTCGACTAGATCGCCTTAGATCTGACGGGAGCTAAGACTTATTTGGTCTAGGTCGATGACTCCGGCTGCCTGCATATCTTTGCTTGCGTAGGACAAGAAGATAGTTTCCTCTTAAATAAATATTGCGAATTGCGAAAATGGACGATGATGATGACTTTGGTGCCGATGCAGATTTCTTATCTGCTTTGGCTTCCTCTGCGGCTGGAAGTAACTCCAGTCAAACTAGATCCCAACCTACCACGAACCGTGTTCAACAACCCGTTCCCCAAAGAATCCAACAGCCAACTCCTCAAAGGATACAGCAACCGACGCCTCAACGTTTAGACAAACCACCACCGACTTCTAACTCGGCCGCGCCTAAGATTGTTCAACCGACACCTCAAGCTCTCCCACAACGCTCATCCGGTTCTTCAATTCTAGTGTCCCCGCGCCAAAAAGGGAACCCCGTATTAGCATCCCTACGTTCAGTGGCATGGGAATACAGTGATATTCCTGCCGATTATGGCCTGGGGCTAACAACATGTGCCCTATTTCTAAGCCTTAAGTATCATCGGTTACATCCCGAATACATTTATACCCGAATTCGCAATCTACAGGGAAAATACAATCTGCGCATCCTCTTAACTATGGTCGATATACCCAACCACGAAGATTCCTTACGCGAACTCTCCAAGACCTCATTAATCAATAACGTTACCATAATTCTTTGTTGGTCCGCTGCCGAAGCCGCGAGATACCTCGAATTATACAAGTCCTACGAGCACGCGAATTTCGGTGCTATTAAGGGGCAGCAAGCTACGAGTTACGCCGAGAAGCTCGTCGAGTTCGTCACCGTACCTAGAGGAATTAACAAAGCCGATGCTATTTCTCTGGTCAGCGCATTTGGTAGTCTGAAGAACGCAGTCAATGCCGACCCCGAACAGGTTGCTGTTATTGGCGGCTGGGGAGAGAAGAAAGTGAAGAGATGGTGCAGTGTTGTAGAAGAGCCGTTCCGAGTTCAACACGCAGCTAAGAGACGCCTTGTTGACGAGAGCAATAGCGCAGCGGACAAAGCTATCCCGCTGAGTCGAGTACCGTTGAGGGATATGCCTCGTGTGTCAGCCAATCTGTCTCGAGGCAGTGCTATTACAGAACCACAAGGTGAATCGCCCTCGGAGCCTAAACAGGACCACCAAAGTCGAGATGCTGCTATAGATGATTATGATGAGGAAGCAATGCTAGCGGCGGCCATTGAAGAATCCAAGAAGACAATGGTGCAGGAACAGCCGTCTAGCTCGACCTCAAAAGCACGCGAGGAAGACAAACTGAGCGATGGGATAGCCGCGGCACTCGCAAAGCTCAGGGATAAGGGATAAGGTACGATGATGATACCTGCCTTGTTTGGGTGGGCTAGGTCTAACACTCGGAGCGTCCCGAGCAGTGCTACCTCTAAGATGCGAAGGTACGACTTGAATAGCCTAGCAGAAAACCATGGCATTCATGAAAAGGTATCACAGTAAGGAAGAGCATGTGGTTCACGATGCATATTCCCATATGATCTCGGTCAGGTCATATATATTCTAGTGTAACCAATCACCTCGATGTCCGAAGGTACATAACACTAATAATGCAAGGCGCTAGTAGGATCTTCTTGGCGGATTTCCCCAGGGAATCTTGGTTGAAGCGGTCTACCTAGCTGCAATCTAGCTGTAATTCAGGTTTGTCTTTAGCTGGGGAGATCCTCGTAGGAATTATGCATATATTCATAGGAGGTAACTAGGTGGATTCCGCGGACAATTTCTTAAAAGATCCCTTGGATATTCTCCGGAAATATGCTAGATGTTAGATATTCCTTATCCGGGTTTAAAATTATGACGTTGTGGAATAGCCCCTCGCAGCGGTAGATCCAGGATTAAATTATCACAAGTGGTACGTCAAGTTAACAACGAATCGGATTAGAAAAGGCCCTGCATCAAAACTATAATATACTTATAATATACTTAGACATATGTTGGACTCTAATAGTGCATATACGATATGTTGTGTGCTTTTCCTTTGACTTGTGCATATTAAATATGTACAACAATCAGTTCCACGATGAATTGCTGCTATGCATGGATATGAGGTTGGGGGCGAGCCCATCATCGATCGGTACCTGCGAGAATCCGAATCTTTAATTTCGGCGGTTTGTACCCCCCCTTTTTTTCCCTTTCGCATGGGTTCCCCGCACGACAGCTTAGATAAGAGCTAAGTTAATTCTTACCTCGACCAGACTTTGCCTATGAAGTGCCGATAATCTTGAGTTTTGGGGTAAGGTACCGGAGCTTAATTAAAATAGTTGGGGTTGGGGGTTAGGGGCGCTAAATAGCGCGGGGGAGAGATTAAGTTCAGGCACGCGTCCAGTAACGTTGGATTCTCATTAGAAGCTACAGATGTCGCTAACTTACAAACATCAAACACGAACAGGTAATATAGTAGCCCTAGCTTCCTTAAACGCCTCCGTCTATCCCCTATTAATTACAGTAGGTATGCGCTGACCTCATAGCACAGATATAGTTTAAAAATCTTAATTTAATCTTCCGCCTATAGTTTAAGACAAAATTCCCACAAATGCAAATATGATATTTCCCCGTCCAACCTTGCCTTGGCAATCTATCAAGCGGATTTTGCTTGTGTCTTGGTCACAAGACATCGAACCTGGAATCTCCACCTCTTTGACATATTACCTATTTACGGCCCGTTATCCTCTTCCCTAATCCTGCTTCTTAGGCGACATCTCTTGGACCTGCAGATCCGTTGCCCCTTTTGGAAGGTCATACATTTTTCTTAATTATCAAGTATCCGCGCATCTCGACTATGTATTGCCTAGAATACGGTACTAGTAAGTGGTTACCTATAAACCTGGGATTTTAACTGGTAACGTTTCTCCCTTCGTCGCCGGACGGACACCTAGTCCTGATTAGGGCACTGTCTAAGCGCTCTATCATATGAGCTATTAGCTATTCGGGGTAACATATTCGTGATGTTCAATCCGTGCCACATGGCCCATTTTGAGTGAGACTTGGGATCCTCGTGCTTACAGTCTGTGATCATCAAAGTTGCATTGCAGAGACCCTTAGCTTGCATACCGAGCATGCTTGACCTCCCTGTCTTGTTGGACGGCACTAGAGATTTGATCCCCGTCCCCAATAAACTCGCGAGCCGCAAAGACACCGCTCGACATATATTGATACATATTGATAAGACTACAAGCCAAGGTTGGCTGGTCGCAGTGTTAGTTCAAGTTACCAAACAACATACCCTCACATCCACACACACATACTTAACTTACAAGCATAATCTACAGGCATGATATCCCTGTTATTGCAGTCGAATTATGAAATACCTCCTGTCCAAGCTCTTGGTCCCTTTGGCTGCTGATTTAGTTAGTAGATATGGCTTATGCAGGTGACAGACATTCGCCTTCTGTAGCAAATTGTTACAACCCTGAGGCCCCCATGTCTAAGTAGTTCACATACCGCAACGCTCAGACTTAGTATAAGACTCGGACCTATTCCCTCTCCTTATCTCCTTTCTTCATTCCTAATGTCAGCTATTTAAACCTCACTAGCTCAGTCCGCAGGTTCATTCGCTTGTATTCGCATCATATTTTAGAAATAGCTGGAATTATCGCATATCACACAACTATGGTGAACACTAAACAGGCTCTCGCCTTTCTAGGCAGTGCCTCTTGTGCTATAGCCCAGCCTTCATACGTGTCTCATCCTGAAAGAGCCGATGCTGTTAAGGCGGCGTTCCAACGTTCTTGGGATGGCTACTACCAATATGCGTTCCCTAACGACACTTTAAGGCCTATCTCAAAGACATACCAAAATGATCGGTATGTGAATATCTTAAAGGTGAATTTGAGCGTGGACTAACTGAAATGACAGAAATGGATGGGGAGCCAGCGCGGTTGATGCCATCTCTACGGCTCTCGTAATGGAAAATGGAGATGTGATCAATGCTATTGTAGACCATATCCAGTCCATTAACTTTAATGCTACTGCTCCCGGCTCAGAAAGTGTCTCTGTATTTGAAACTACTATCCGCTACTTGGGCGGTCTCCTCTCAGGTAAGCCACAGCGAGGATCACTCTAAACATAACCATTAACTCACTATACACCAGCATACGATTTTCTGAATGGTCCTCTAAAGCAATACGCAAAGGATCAATCTTCGATTGACAAAATTCTTCAGCAAGCAATTAATCTAGCTGATATCCTCAGCGTGACTTTCGACACCCCTAGCGGAGTTCCTATAAACACACTAATCTACAGCTCAGATGGGTATCACGTCGGTAGTGATACCACCAATGGTATTGCCACTATTGGAACTTTGGTACTGGAGTGGACTCACTTGAGTGACATCACGGGAGATGATAAATATGCAAAGTTAACACAGGTCGCTGAGGACTACCTTCTCAACGTACGTAATCCAGATGTAGGCGAGCCGTATCCTGGATTGATCGGAACCAATGTCAAAGTTTCCGATGGCACCTTCGCAGACTCCAGCGGTGGCTGGAATGGCGGCACGGATTCATTCTACGAGTATCTCATCAAGATGTATGTCTACGACCAAGACCGCTTCGGCGTTTATAAAGATCGATGGATTGCCGCCGCCGACTCTAGCATCGAGTATCTAGCATCTAACCCGACCAGTCGCCCCGATATGACATTCCTTGCTGCCTACGGTGGATATGACCAGCTAGAATTTGTGTCAACTCATCTTGCGTGCTTCGACGGAGGCAGCTTCATTCTCGGCGGCTTAACCCTCGACAATGATAAGTACACCAAATTCGGACTCGAACTTGTGAATGCCTGTCACGAGACCTACCTTGCGACCGTCACCGGTATTGGACCGGAAGTTTTCTACTGGCAAGACAGCAATGTAGCAACCAATGCTAGTAATAATGGCCCGCCCCCACAGGATTCCGCTAGCTTCTATGAGACTGCTGGCTTCTGGATCCCATCCGGCGGCGGGAGTTACGTGCTGCGGCCCGAGGTCGTCGAAAGCTTCTACTACGCGTACCGCGCGACTGGAGATACCAAGTACCAGGATTGGGCTTGGGAGGCGTTCCAAAACATCAATAAGACATGCAGCGCAGGTGTCGGATACAGCTCCATCCAGAACGTGAATGCCGAAGGTGGCGGTGGATTCGACGATTTCCAGGAGAGCTTCTGGTTCGCCGAGGTCCTGAAGTATAGTTACTTAATCCAGGCGGACGACGCGGCGTGGCAGGTCAATGCTGGCCACGACAACACGTGGGTTTTCAACACGGAAGCGCACCCTTTCCTAGTTAAAGGCCAACCAATCTAGACTTACAGATAGATCAAGAAGCGTGTTGATTTTTGAGTATCCAGTGGGGGCGGTTAGGGGTTAATTAATATTGCATTGGGTCGGCGTTGGTTGATCAATTCTTGTATATATTTGGGAATACTTTCGAGGTATATTTTTATTGGGCAATATACCATCTAGTTTTTACTACCTTGTGCGGCTGAATGCAACACCATCTCGATGCCGTGTTACTAAGCTCCGTATTATTTACTCCATAGCGATGAATCGATCCCAACCATACCTTGAATACAGTATCATATATAGAGACATAGAAAACAACCTAGTTGATTTACGTCTATTACCAAGTTAGAACTCCTGCCCCCTAATGCATCTGCACTATTGGTCGCACCATCCAACATGTGTCACCTAGACTAATCCAATATGTTCTCCGCGCCTCATGCCAGGAGCCGAGACACGGCTGTACTGTACCCCCGGAGCTATTCACAACAACATTCCGACCAGCTTCCGATAGAGTAACGTACTACATGAATACAAGGCTTTTACGGTGGACTATTAGTCCAACTGTGCCAAAATCAAAAAAGTCAGTCGCACTATATCAAATAAGGTAATAGTAACATTAAGATTACAGTATAAGTTCGGCTATTTCTACTATATACACAATTTATAAGGTAATACATACCGTTTATATGGGGATAACTTTACTAATATACGTTCGAATTACTTGGAATTGGTATTGGTATTTTCATTAAAAAAAGACAAAAATTTCAATCCCAATTTCATATAACTTGACCCTGGATTCGTAAAGATATTGGAAACACCATATAATTATAAACATTATTAAATACATTACGGGCTACTTTCCCTTTCCCCACGAGCTAAAGATAACAACCAATCAGATTTAACCTTTACTTTAACCTTAAACATATACAAATACGTAAATATACAGAATGCAACTTATACACTGCAATAACTTCGCGAATATCCTATTTTAAAAATTATAATTGGTATCATTTTATAGCTTCAATTAATGCGAAAATAACAATCTAAGTTGCATGTTTATAAGATACGTATTGGATAGTTTATCCGTTGTTGAAATACCTATCTATAGCATTTTTAAGGTGGTGGTCTTGAAGGGTATCACGTGTTAGTCCTTCTACATAGCACCTATTTGATATTGATATGATATTCTAGCAAAAAGACATATAAAGATGCAACTTGAATCATTAATTTCGCATTAATTGAAGCTATAAAATGATACCAATTACAATACTTAAAACGCTATATTCATGAAGTTATTTGAGTATATATCGCGTTATGTATATATAATAATAAAAATAATGATAAATAATATAAAAAATCTTATATCTCAGGTATTTCGGGATACTGTGCACCTAGCGTTGCTTATTAAATTACCCTTTTTGGACAGCTCCCACCCATTTTCTTGATTTTGGCACAGTTGGACTAATAGTCCACCGTAGCTTTGTCCCTTGAGCTAATCGTTTCTAAAAATAGAGAAATAGAAAGAAGTGGGGTCGGGTTGCGAATGCGAAATGGAGATTGACGGTGATATGAGGGAGGTAAATTTATCGGCGTGGTTAAGGATTCGAAGGGCAAACGTTTAAAATAATTGCTGAAGTATTATTGCTGGGTAGGTAAGAAGCTGTATCATCTGTTTTAAACTAAGCAACGTACCTAATCTATTAAGTAACCTTTGACTTTTTCCCTAGACCACACAGTAACTCCAATGGTGCCGGCGTACGAGGTCGAGCAATTGGAGCTATAACTACCTAGTTTAAAGAAAGGCCTATGTTTTCAAACTATGGTGATACAGCGTGATATGAGATTAATACGAGCCCTAAATATTTAAACACACCCTAGGGTTATAGCGTCTCGACGCAAGGGCTTATACATGAACCGCACCATATTAAGTATCTACGCCATGTGTATTTAGAATCTGTCTAGCTCAAAGTTTTAAATATCTCATGAAGAATGATACAAGGAGCAATTAAAATCATGATATTTTTAGCTTATATCGTCGCTATTTCTGTAAGGAGAGATATATGTGTAAGGGATAATATTAGTAGGTGTGTTTGCTAATGGTTCTGGAATAGAGCATCGTAGCATTCATCTATCGATCTCAACTTCATCCCTTCAAAACCATTTGCGACTTTTTCACGAGGAAATTTTCCCAATGCTTTGCGTGGCCTTGAAACTACCTATTTTGGGCTCAAATATCGACCTCGGTGGTAAACCAACTTCAGACTAGACAATATCGACAATCAGAGACATGAGGCAAAATCTTAAATCAGAAGAACTCGCTATATCATCATAGCAAGTTCTCCTTTAGAAGTCATTAGGCTAAGCCATGCACGAGATCAAAGGGATTGATATTGGAATAGGGGAACATGGAGGTATGGCCAAGGTTCAATATGGTACTTAATATACCTAAAATAGATATATGTTTTGCTCCGATCTTCCTACCTACCTCGGTATACTGAACCCAGGTCGCTGGAACATTCCGACCCCAACACAAACTGAACATTATATGAATTCCTCCACACTTAAGACGACACGGTCTAATTTGATACCAAGAAGATAAATGGTAAATATAGACAGCTAGTGGTAGTTTTCATCCCAGTCTCACAATCTTCCACATCTGCAGACATTCCTGCAAATCCAAGGACAGCGTGCCCTCATGTGCTGTAGAAGTATCCTTAACCAGAGCAACCAGCAGACTAGCCAAAGCAAAGACTACTTGATCTTCTCGCAATGCTTCCAAATCAGACCTCCTCATGCCGCCGTTATCGGCCCAGGATTTCCACAGGTCGAGCATCTTGCAAATCGACGAGGCGAACTGGCCATCAAGGATCATCCGGTGTAGTAGCGAGCCTACCACGTCCCTGAGAGTTGTGTCAGAAGTAATGTTAACGCCGCTAGCGATCGCAAGTTCCTGGTTCCGCTTGAGCCAGTGCAGATTATGCTCGGCCACAAGCTTCGTGTCCCATTTTGGGCTCTGCAGCGCCTCGGACGTGCGCGTTTCGCGACGCTGGTTCTCGAGCCTTGAATGGTCGCGCACTGTTAACGAGTAAGATAAGCATCACCTTTCTCATAAGTTTCTATGACGATTACTCACTGTCTTGTAATCTCTGGTTCATCTCCCTCTGCATCCGATCTCGAGCAGCAATTTCCCGCTGAGGAGGGGTCATCTTCGACTCGGCCATTATAGCGGCGCGCTGGTCGGCACTGCGTCTGAAGAATAGATCTCGAGCCTCTTCTTGTCCGTTATAGTTGGTAGCCCACTCAGGTGTCTGTGAGGCATCCACAACGCCTAGGAGTACAAGTATACCACAGGGTAGACTGTCCCGCCGGGCAAAGTTGAGAATCTCATCGGGGATTTTGTAGTTCCATAGCACGGTTTGGCTCGTAGTCCCATAAGCTGTCGCGACGCTAGAAAACCAAATGCCATCGGTCTTGCCAGGGCGGATCCGAAGATGCTCAATATAAAGGTTTTGTAGATTTATAGGCGATCCTACGGCTTCATCCTCCTGACTCTTCGCAGATATTAGGCCTTCAACGGATATCTGGCATGTTATAGTTGCTCTAGAGTTATTCTCAGCCTGCTTTTGAATCGAGTCGAGAGATTCTTTGTGTAAGCTACTATGCCTTTTCTCCTTACCCTTTTCTATATCACCCTCTTCGGCCTCTCCCTGAGCAGAAGAAGGCGTCTCTTCGGGGCCAACCCCTCTAGTAATCTCAGATGGTTCTGGTTGAGGCGGTGGTAGAAGCCTTACCCAATAAGGGGGTAAGGAAGAGAAATCCCGAGTTGTCCAATGCGATGACCAATTCGCCTTAAGAGACAGATGTCCATCGGAATCGTCTAGAGGAGCGATAGTCAAAGCCTCATGCTGCCCATCAGGTGACTTCAGTAACGAGCAACCCGTGGGGGTCCATAGCCCCGTCGAACGCAATAGTTTCCAGCCGTGCGCATCAGGGATGGCACCTAGGTCTAGTAAATACGCGATGAGTTTGTCAAATGCTACGTCGACCTGTGGTTGTCGAAGCTGGTCCGCGTATTCCACACGCTGAGTTTTAGCGCCGATAGCGCGAGTCTGCCAGTTGAAAGTAGTCCACGATCCACCGGGAATAGAGCTAGGTTGCCGAGAGGGCCGCCAGTATAGCTCAGTCTCCTCGAAGCGATCACATGGCGTGACAGCATATCGTGGTAATTCCACCTCTATTACTCGGTTCACCACATCGCTACGCGTTAATGCTGTTAAACGACCGTGTCTAAGCATGCGCTTAATCTTAGATAGGGCGGCTAGCGTTGCGACGGTGTTGTATAGGATAGGCAAGACGCCAAGGACGGCTAAGGGAATACCAATAAAGGTGATGATATCGGTGGCCGAGTAGCCTGAACCCGTCGAAGACATTTTGGCGCCCTGCCTAATAAACGGAATATATATACAAAATTGTTCATAGATAATGAATATACTAAGAAAAGAGAATATAATGAACTTCTTATCATATTGTGCTAATTCGGGTCAAGCTCAGCCCCAGCTGAGCTGAAAACTAGTGTACTCTGGGCTTGATGCATATTTCGACGCGAAGCGTGTTATTCCTTTTACCCTGATAGAATTCTATTATATTGTAGGTTATAAGATATAAGGTCGAAAATAAATCTTCATTGATCAGCATTTTCTTAGATTGACATATAAGAAGTCTTTTAGACCTAAAACTTGAATGACCCTTTGAGCACCTTTATATAGCTTTTTCATCAGAGGTTGCATAAATGGATTGCAATTTATGTATATATATAAAATGCTATCGAGTAATCGGGGGATATCTAATGCAAGGTACCCGAGGCTAGTGTGATATGGGGTTTAGATCGATTTACGGAACCGCTTTCAATCTCCACATGATCTCGCAGGAGCCCGCAATCACGAACTTGCCCACTCCAATCTTCATTTGTACTATACCTTAGATACCTCATATATCAGCTCACACATTGAATTCTAAGATATTAGCTATCTAGCTATAACTTCTTATCTCACTAACTACCTACTTAATTACCTTCTATTGCTACTTTTGCCTTGTCTTGGTTCTCGTAACCTTCCATCCTATATTCTTCGGCCTGAGAGCCAATTACGACCAAGAATGACGACCATCAGACGGCGATAATGCGACTGAACTGCGCTAATGCAGTTCTAGTTGCTGCTATAAAACTATTATGCCTCGTCAATGGTCAATTCCCGAATTCTACGTCCCAGGACCTGAATCTCACTACCATTTCCTCACCGATCGACCCTAATATCAAGATCAGCTATAAAGTACCTCATGGAGCCTGTAACACCGCATTCGAGTCGCAAACTCAGTATACTGGCTGGGTGAGCCTCCCGGGTGATTTCCCTACCAATACTTTCTTCTGGTTTGTTGGGGCGCGGGATAAGCAAGCCAATTCTAGCCTAACCATCTGGCTCAATGGCGGCCCGGGATCGAGTTCTATGTTCGGCTTCTTTACAGAGAACGGTCCTTGCGAGGTAGTTGATAATGGCACCGACAAGTTCACCACTATAGCGCGAGAATGGGGTTGGGATAGGGCGTCGAATATGTTATTTATAGATCAACCGAACCAAGTTGGATTTTCCTATGATGTTCATACGAAAGGTTCTATCGACTTGCTCACTAACGAAATCTATACCCCACCTGACAAGAGACCGGATTCGCTACCACCGAGCGCATATCTAGACGGTACATTCAGTTCTATGAATATCAACCATACGTCTAACACGACCGAGACATCAGCTATTGCCATATGGCATATGCTACAAGGTTTCTTAGGGGCTTTCCCGGAATTGAATCCTCCAAAGGACAACATCTTGGGCGTGAATCTGTTTTCGGAAAGCTACGGAGGGAAGTACGGCCCTGCGTTTGCGCAGAAATGGGAACAGATGAACGCCGTTCGAGGCAATAGGACTATTTCAAATAGCACCTCTGTTGAGATTCGCCTTGTCTCACTTGGTATTGTAAACGGCTGTGTCGACGACCTGATCCAAGCACCGTATTATCCCATCATGGCGGTTAACAATCCTTACGGGTTTCCTGCCATCAACTCCGTCAGAGCAAAAATGGCCAATGCTAGCTTCTATACTGACGGTGGGTGTCGAGATCTGATCAACCAATGTCGAACCGCAGTTGCTAGTAAAGACCCGAATAACAGCGGTTCGGTCCCAGACGTGAACCGCATCTGCGAGTCCGCTTATAATAACTGTACCAATAACGTAATGTTACCTTACTCAGATGCTGGCCGCAGCCTCTATGATATCGCGGCGCCTCTGCCCGACTCATTTCCGCCCCGGCGATATCTAGAATACGTGAACACGCCAACATTCCAAAGAGCCATTGGTACGCGCCTCAATTACACGGAGACCAACAGCCAGGTTGCCGCAGCCTTTGCTTCCACTGGGGACTACGAGCGCGAGGCAATGGTACCCAAGCTAGCCTCACTCCTCAACGCAGGTATTCGCGTAGGATTTATATACGGCGACCGAGACTATATTTGCAACTGGCTGGGCGGCGAGGCAGTATCCCTAGCGCTCGCCTCATCCGTAGCAGGCTATGAATCATCCTTCATGTCTGCCGGATATGCGCCTATCATCGTCAACGACAGCTACGTCGGCGGCGTAGTGCGGCAATTTGGCAACCTGTCCTTCAGCCGCGTGTACCAAGCAGGCCACTTTGTACCAGCTTATCAGCCAGCCACGGCTTTCGAAATATTCGCGCGAGTCATCCGTGGCGACAGCGTATCCACAGGAGAGAACATCGACCTTTCTACGTACAACACCACAGGCTCCACCGAGGCCAACAGCGCCCTTGACCTCCCCGCCGCCCCGTCACCAACCTGCTGGCTTCGCGACGTGCCCGGTAGTTGTGGTGAAGAGCAACGTAGCGCCATTCTAAACGGCGATGGTTTCGTCGTCAATGGCGTTGTACAAACAGGTCCGACGGTGACGACCCCGCCAGCTTCTGCTGTTGCCGATCCCTCGACAACTACGACACAGCTCACCGGCTTGTTTACAGCTACCGCAACACCATCAAGTGTAGCCATGCCAAGGGTAAAGCCTAGTATTGACTTAGGATTAGCTGTCGGCGGCAGTGTTATTGTTGCGATACTACTTGGTTCATAACCCTAACTCTCACCCTTATATAGTACTTTGCACAGCATATCTATTTATCATTGGAATCTTCCACTTTGGCCTAAATCATCATACTAGATACCCATACCTGAACAATAAAGAATTGTTGATATTATACACAATGATCTATTAAGCCTCGCTGATGCAGTTAACATGTGCCCGAGATGGTTTAAAACCAAACAAGAGGTCGTATCATACGCATATACCTTACCTATTAATAGTTGACTGTCTAGGTACATAGTAACACAATTGAATTTTCAGCGATAATTCCAATATACGGACGGCACGGCACAACTCCTCTATTTAGTAACTTTTCAAACATTGACGCCAGAGACGAAAAAGCAGTACTTCGCAAACTTCAATATTACCATTGTTAACTATTCTGATTACACGTTGAGTAGGAACCATGTACAATATATTCCTGCATCCTATGCTAACTTGCTGGATAGTCTAGTACAGCTAAAGAAACCAAGCATTACTTTATATCACTTACCTGTTGATACTCACAGTAAACTAGCCAAAGCGGTAATATGTCCGTATATTAGTTATAAGAGCATGGTATAGCACTAGAGAATCAGTCAGCTTGATTCTAAACGACGGGGAAAAAACAACCAAGTTTGAAACCCTATATCAGATCCACAGCCCTGTCAAAGGCAATATCATCAAAGCTGTCGAGCTATGTTGACCGTCGTGAAATTATTGGTTCATCATTATAGGGTTTGTAGCAGTAATGAGAAATTCGAGCTCTTACCTTTATTAGCCAAGCATAAGACAACAAGGTCACTGCCAGTAACATTCAGTAAATACTATCATTTCAACAAGTTAGCCCAGAGCAATGCTTGAGCGAGTGTGAAAAGATTCCATCTGCTGCAGTCAGACATGACCGGAGTCATCAACGCCGTAAAGCTCTGACATATGCTTGTCAATTTTTTAGTCGGATCATCATATTGCAGCAGCATGTTGTCTTTCAAGTATTGGGCGTGTACTAACCGAAGCTGTAGGACTAGACATTACATCTATAACTGAAAGTTAGAATAGGTCGACCATATAATAAATGATGACAGTGATACAAAAACAATAGTTCAGAAAATGCATGAATGGTAGTAATTAGGTTGTCTACAACGGTAACCCGAATCAGACTCGTCATCTGTGCTCATCAGGTAGGTGGTTGTTTTTGATGTTGAGATAAAAAAAATATTGCTTACCTTAGTCACACATGTCACGAAGCCAAGGTTTATATTCATTGCCACAAGACAATTACAATCAATGTTCCAGTTGATCATTGAATACCAAGTTGTAGAACAAATATTGATAGAATACTGCTTCGGAGATCCCATGTTAGCCGACATGCTCGATGCGAGATTAATCGATAGAGACGTGGATATCGTAATCAGTGGGCGAGGTTTTCTAGGCCTGCCGCAAGATGGCGTATCGACTCATATAATAAAAATTCGGAGCCCAGTGCCGCTTCATCATTTGAGGATATAATATCGAGTTGAAAATTTGCATACCGTTTGGCAATTAGTCACTTGGACCATCTATACGCGATATTAGCAACCATATAGATGTCAAGGTTTGCGAAATCGAGATGCAGGAAATATATATCAGACAACAGCCAGTTTTTTTCCTCAAGAGCATAAGCCTCGGACGGTAATTTCCAGCTATGCATTTGCATAGAAAGAATCATCATTTTGGTAATATGGAAGACAGGATGGAGAAGAAAGCTTACCTGTTAGGTGTTATTTGAGCTAGATCGCAACAGACCCAATACCCCGAGGGAGGGCGGATCACCTGGGATCGCATTAGCATAATGAAGCTCGAGATGGTTTCATTAAGAAATTAAGATCCGAATATATCCTCAGACTGACGTGTAAAAACAGTTTCATTCCCGTAGGTCAAAGACTCTAGTTTGCGGTTTACAACTTGTCATCAATGAAAGATGAATAGAAGGAATTTCTGTGTACTTACATCGCGTTCAGAGAAACATTATTTGGGTGATGTTGTTAAGAAGGAAGAATTGACGATGGTTGGAGGAAGAAAAAAAATTATTTCTAGCTTCTGAGCTTCAAACTAAGTGGGGCGTGCCTGGTGGACTCGCGCCGGGAAAAGGAAGGTTAATAATCCGAGAAGTTCGGATCAATCAAACCCCGTCCAGGTACCACTGCAGGTGCCCACCTACCTAAGGTAAGACAGGCACGTGCAGAAATCCTGGAGCCGGAGCTACCTAAGACCGATACCAACAGGTGCAGCCCGTGCCCCTCTTTCGGCCCTAGTGATCTTAGCTCTAAAGCTCTCCCTGTTCTCTACCCCTCATCTGCATCATAGCGATGTCAATTTTTCTGTGTTACCTCACTATCTCAACTAACTCCGATTTATTTCTGGGTACGTCGGGAAACACGTACATAATGTAATACTTGTATTACCTCATTCCGCGGTCAAAAGTATTTTCTAATAAAATAACCCCCAGTAACAAAAACAAAAACTTTTACCGTGTCACATGAAGATATTCGAACGAATCAAGGGCGCTCATCTCAGTCCGATAGCTCACACAACGCGTATCAAAAATAGGTGACGTTTAAAGGCCGAGCTTACCGGCATCTTCCGTATCTCCCGCCTCGGTATAATCGATGGCGGATGGCAGATGGCGGCTTAAATACCATGACCCGAAAAATCCTCTTTTTTAGAATCCATCAAATCCATCCGCCATCAGCTATCCGGCTACACTATTGCCCAGCCCACATTTCCCCTTGGCCGGTGTATGGGGACTTCTGGGTCCTGGGGTCTAGAATGACTGCATGGCGGTCTGCTCGGGATGATGCCGTATGTCATCGTGCTGTTGTTACCCGCAGTACCGAGCAAACCAGTAACAACACATTGAAAACAGTGTGAAGAATGACAAAGACGTAATTAGACGCTTTATAAACTTTCCAATAACCCCCTCGGCATATAATTCTGAGCAACACCATATATTTTCGTTTGATCTTTCTCACGATAACTTGCCGGATTCTAACCTATTAAATCAAATCAAATCAAATCAAGTTCTACCAAATCCTCATTAACCCAATTTCCCCATTACTCCAAGATTCTATTCTCTCCATTTCTCCGTAATTAGTACCTGAACTTACCCCAAGTAAAACCTATTAGGTTCCTTTTGTGCCTCCCTCCCTTCCTCTCTCATCCCTCGGCTTAATTTTAGATCTTCCTTACCTCTTCTAAGCATAATGGCGTCGAACGGCAATGATGTACCACCAGCAGAAACGGCTACTGTAAACACAAACATTGTGACCTTAACTCGTTTCCTTACAGAAGAGCAGACCAAACACAAAGAGGCAACTGGAGATTTCACGTATGTTCCTATTTTATCCAGGAACCACCAGTAAATCAACTATAGCTAATTTGATACTCTTATCAGATTATTATGCCACGCTCTTCAATTCTCCTTCAAGGCCATCTCTCATTATATTCGCCGAGCCACACTAGTAAACCTGACAGGTCTCGCCGGTCAATCTAATGCGACGGGTGACGACCAGAAGAAGCTTGACGTCATCGGAAATGACCTTTTCATAGCAGCTATGAAATCATCGGGGAAGTGTGCATTGTTAGTATCGGAAGAGGAAGAGGAGGTAATATACTTTAAAGATCACACCGGAGCTCGATACGCTGTAGCTTGCGACCCTATCGACGGAAGCTCCAACTTGGATGCTGGTGTCTCCGTTGGAACTATCTTCGGTGTTCATAAGTTGGCCGAGGGTTCTACGGGAACAAAGGAAGATATTCTGAAGCCTGGAACAGAACTTCTTGCTGCCGGATTCACCATGTACGGCGCGTCTGCTCAGCTCGTCATCACAATGATGGGCGGCACTGTCAATGGCTTCACGTTGGATAATTCGTTCGGCGAGTTCATCTTAACACACCCGGATATGCGAATCCCGAGGCAGAGAGCTATTTACTCCGTCAACGAGGGTAACTCTCTCTACTGGGAAGACCATACCAAGGAGTACTTCAACTCTCTCAAATACCCTCAGGGTAACGGGAAACCCTATAGCGCTAGATATATTGGTAGCATGGTGGCTGACGCATATCGAACGCTGCTGTACGGTGGTATCTTCGCCTATCCCGCCGACAAGAAGAGCCCTAAGGGTAAGCTGCGTATTCTATACGAATGCGCACCTATGGCTATGGTTTTTGAAAATGGTAAGTGATGACCCCGGTATCTTTTTTTCGGGATTATACTGATAGTTCCTTAGCCGGTGGCCAAGCCGTGGACAGCAAGATGAGACGTATGCTTGAAGTCGTCCCCGAACACATTCACGATCGATCAGGTATCTACTTAGGTAGTTACGACGAAGTCGAGAAGGTCAAGTCATTTTACAAGTGATTTAAATCAGATGGGTTGCTGTTGGATATTGGGCCTTTCAAATAGGTTTGGCGCTGAGGCAATGAGCATTGGAGCATTGGATACCTCGTAATGAATACCAATCTGATTTATAATGAGGATATTACCCTAGAAACTTATACGTGTGACTCGCAAGTAATATGTATAAAATCGTGGCTTTCCAAATATAATATACATTATCATGACTTCTTAGTATAACTTAGGGAAAAACTTGGGCGTATTTCGCTTCCACTCCTGATAATCTTTACGATGGCCATACTTAGCATCGTACTTCTTCTCACTCAACGGCACACCGGACACTTTCAACAGCAAAGAGGTTATAAACGCCGGGCTCACAAACGATACTACCAAGACTAGGAGCTTGCCCAACAAGCCACCCGAAAACCCAAGTCCAACCTGAACTGGACGTGCCACCAAGACACCAGCAGCTGTAGTAGCTATACCCGTCCACAGCGTACATTCACCCAAGTAATTTGGGTACTGGCTACACATTTATCAGCTTCTCACAATCTTTCATAACTACCTAAGTACCACTTATAGGAACACTTACCTCCGACTCCACAGACCCTTCGTCATGAACGGCTCATCATGCAACTTCTCCTTGCGACGGTGCAACCACTCACCCTTCTGCCAATCAGCAACGATCTCGAGCGCGAACCCGCCGGCAAACAGCGCCAGGCCCAAGACATCAGTTACCCGTAGCGGCACGGCGGCAAGCGCCGCGGGTGGTACCGCGTTAACGGCCAGCACGGGCGCTAGACACAGCGACACCCATGTCGCTTGGCCAAACCAGGCGCCTGCGAACTTACCCGGCGACCCGCGGAGCGTGTCGAAGCGGGAGTCGTGGCCTTGGTGCAGGACGCGGCGGAAGAGGTACGTGCCCACTACAGAGGTATATTAATAACTTAACCTTCTCACATAACAGAGGCACTGAATTCCATCCCATAGTACTGAATACTATACCTATTAAAGCACTAGGACAAAAATAGAGAGAATTACGCACATCTAACAGACCAAAAGACCACAGCAGCGCTCAGCGCTACCTGGCGCCAATGAAAGCCCGCAGTCGCCGTAAACGGGCCTAACAGGCTTGGTAACGGCGGCTTCGGGGCCCCAGCCAGCGAGGCAGCAGCGCGGGCACGGAGGCTGGGAAGGTACAAGCTTAGTAGGGTGACGGTGAGGAACGTCGCGGAGCCGGAGATATCGTAGAAACGCTCGGTTTGAGCAGCGATTGATGGGATGGCTACGGCTGTCTGCAAGGCAAAAGCCGCTGCGACGCTAGGTACTACCGTGCGTAGGAAGGGACTCCGGAAGTTGGTTAGGTGGAGGAATTTGTGTAGCATGCCTGATGCCATCGTGGAGATGGTTGGGTTAGGGGAGAGGGGTATGGATTAGGTATAGATAAACACTATGAATGGATGGGTGGGTGGCTACATGTTATATACTTGTCAATCCGGTATCGTGTACATGTGCTGCTTTAAGAGTCAAATATGTCACGACTTCGTGGTGACGTAGATGGAATTCTCAGCTAGTTATAGAAAAAAGAAAATGCTTTTTCTATTGGAAGTTGGTGTGTCGAGCCCCACTCTTGATCGCCTTGTTAAATCATTCTTATTGAGATCTTAAGAACCCCTGTAAGGTTATTTAACTTATACTATATTAAGAACTGAGCTTCTAAGTCAAATCAGAATATATTCATATTTTATTCTGCGCCCCAAACCTTTTCACCATTAAACCACGTTTCCTTCACCGCAGCACCAAGAAGCTTGTCTTTATCCCAGTCCATATCCCATATCGTAAAATCCGCAACCTTACTCGGCTCTAGGCTACCTAGCCGTTCATCCCAGAACACACTTCTAGCCGACCCATAGCTCGCAGCTACTACGGATTCGCATACGCCGAGGCGGAAGTTGTAGTTGACAATGTTCTCGTATTGCGTATTTCTATAAGACTTCCTTGTACTCGCAACGTAGACGTTGCCCATGATATCCCACGGTGATGTCGGACTGTCGCTGCCGAGAGCGAGCGGTGCGCCACCGTCTGAGAACTCCCGGTAAGGGAAAGCGCGCTCGCAGCGGTGACCTAGAAGATCTGGCCATGCTCGGAGGATCCATGGATCGGCGTGAACAGGTTGAATCGAAGCGGTGCTGTAAATAGAGTGAGTATATAATCAACTATTAAAGCAATTATAGATGAACTTATGAAAAAACTAACATTTCAAATTCTCCGAGGCGCTTGGCGTCCCGAGCAGATGCAAGCTCGAGATGTTCCATGCGGTGACGATTCTTCGGAGAGCATGCGGACAGAGCATCGACAGCCATGGTAATAGCAGCGTCTCCAATAGCATGAAGCGCGACTTGTAAACCCGCGGCATCAGCTTTGCGCACTACCGCATTGAGTATCTCGGGGTTCCAGAACGGCTCGCCGTTGATATGTTTCGTAGCGTCAGCTCCTTTCAAATAAGGATCGGACATATAGGCGGTGCAGGCATCGATGATACCGTCGCAGATGACCTTGATACCGACGACGTGGAGGTCTGGTGACTCCTTGGCGCTGAGCTGCTTGTGTACCTCGATAGCTCGGTCGACCTGGGAAAGACAGTCGGCTTCCGAGCTTGAAGGCGTCATAAGCCAGTAAGCTGCAAGTCGGAATGGCAATGGTCGTTCTCGCTGTTCTTCGCGCATGTCGAGAAGAGTAGTCCATGCTTGTTCTTCCATTGCCATATCTATTGCCCCAGTATAACCAGACTTATTGTATGTCTGTACCGCAGCCCGGATCCAGTCTTCGAGATCGTTCTTAGTCGCAAGTGATGCAAGGAAAGGCCAAATAATAGTGAAGACAGCGGCCTCCTCGAAAGCTCCCGTAGGATTTCCATCCGAATCACGTTCGATTTTACCACCTTCGGGATCCGCTAGATTCTTCGCATCAATTTCCTTAAGAGCCGAGGTACTACACCAGGTTGTGTGAAGATCCTTAGAATCAACATAGATAGGCCGATGGTCTAAGTCATCGACTAGACTTGCTAGAGGTTTTGACATATATCTCATCCATCCTTTACAGAGAATACGCGGCTCGTTAGGATTCGCAACTGCGTAATCCTTGATAGCCTTACGAATATCGTCCAAGTTCTCGCAGTGGTCTAATCCAACTTTACTCAGTGATTGTCCTAGTCTTAGCAAGTGAATATGACCATCAATAAAGCCCGGTAGGATGGTTCGACCATTGAGATTGTGTATAACAGCACCGGCAGCTCGGGACTGGGAAATAGCGTCATCCTCCTCCAAACCAACGTGCTTAATGATTCCGTCGCGTATGTAAATTGCATCCCCAAATTGAGGCTCCGTCTCGAGCCCCGGTTTCTTGGCGTGCAGGAATACTTTCCCTCCAACGAAAAGATGGCCTTTAGATTGTGCCATTGAGATAACTATTAGATGTTTTTCATCAAAACATATAAATGAAAAATGACTGAGGGTATTGCTTGGAACTTAGAAATAAGTTAAAACTCTATAACCACAAGAATTATCAGTGTAAAGCCTCTTTCCGAGGTATTCATAAGAAGGCGCCCCCGCGTGATCCACCAATTCAGTTTTAAGTCAGCTGGGGTTCAGCTAGAAAAGCTGTCCGATCCAGGAGCTTGGTAGTCTACTTAGTCCTTTAGCCCCCTGCACATCTATACATGTGAATATAGCGAGACGCCTAGAGTGTGTGTATAGTCATAATATACATATTTTAAAGGTAGTGGATCTTGCCGAGTTTATATTCGTCTCGACTTTTCCACTAGCATCGTCAAAACTTAGAGAATATGGCAGGTCCGAACCTGTAGAGAAGGTTTACCTGCAACCGCTAATATGTGACAAAGTCTTTGGTAACTTCCGCATCGATGGAGATCATCCCCGAGTTAGTCAGGGTTGTTTCTTATTAATATGCTTGATAACTCTCTCTTTTATACACATCTTGGAATAGTTCTTAACTTCATTTAATCGATGCTTTCGTTAAACAAGGATTGTCTCTATACAATTTCAATGTTGGAAGCAATTGTGTGATATCCTAGGCCGTTATCCAAGCGATATAGGGCTCGACAGGTAGTACGGAATCTCTAGAACTACAAATGAAAGCCAGTTTACTTCGGAGATTGGATTTATTGCTGAGGTTGTGGAGATACCGTATATCATGATGAGAAAGGCTGGCACATCGTCCGAAAATGTCCGAGTATACGATCTAGAGATTAATCGACAATACATTGGTCGAATACACGAATGATAGGGTGAGTCGAAAGTCAGCGAGGCGAAGGCACTGTTCTTCTTGTACCACCCGTTGGCACATCTGCATTTTCCTACACTACCGCATCTCGACTTTGTAGGGAGGACAAACCATAGTGACTTTTCAGACTCGACGACCAAGATGGATTTACACGTAGGTCAGGTCCTTAATCAAATCGATTCGTATAGTAAGTATTACCGATAACACCATAGTTATCTTCGCGTCCAGCAATGGTCTAGGATTCTTCCTCCTCTTAGAAAGGAGCAGCTGGCTCTTGGTCAGGCACGTACCATACTACTATGAAAGTCAAAGGTCGGGTGTTTAGAATCTTGATAGGTAAGAATTATAAAGAGGTTTGAAATGATTCAACTAGACCTTGTTATGGGGTTTATGGTAATGATACCGTGGTTACTGGTGTTCGAGGCTGAGTCTTTAACTTTTTAATATTTTTCTTTTTTATAAACTAACGCTTTTTCTATGACACTACTACAAATTGTCTATAAATCCGTCATATAGTTAATATAATTCCTAAGCAATGTATTGTCTACCTCTATCATTAACTATTTATCTCGCGTATAGGTTAGAGACCAAGTCTAAGAACTAAGCTAAGTCAGAGCGATATCGGCCTAGGGAGAAATCAGGGGTATAGCTCTATCCATTTCTAGGAGGTAGGTGTGTAACTAAGGGTTAGTAACTAACTATGGAAAGCAATATACATAGATTCAAGGAGTTAATGCTATAGTATAAATGAATTTGATGGAAATTTACCATAAAGGACTATATCTTACATTACCTAGAGTTAGGGGTCAGGATGATTTAGGTTTTCATCCAGCCATTATGAAGCCATTATAAAGGCTCCATGCCAAGTTCACTAACTTCACAGTCCAGTTACTATACTACTATTTACACCCTATATCCGTGAATATATAAATCAACAAATAACTAATCATCTCTAAAAAGATGATTTGACAACTATGATATAACATTTATATGAATCAAGACGTCTCTCCTTATTATGCATTCTCTGAATGATCACTATAATCGATTACATAGTATAAGTCTTTTAGATAGCCTACCTCAAAATGGCTTTTTATATGCGGACTACTTAACCGTGGAGTCTACTTTCGGTTCAATATACGATTTAGTGAGCAAAGACTACTCCAATGTTGCCCAGTTCCTAGGTATTTCTTTCACCGAAGCCCCTATAGGCTCAAATCAATAACTACCTCCTATACCGAAGAACTCAGTCCATAAATTCGGCGCAACTGAGTCTGGACCTTTATGTCTGCAGTGATCTGACGGGTCGCTGTCAATATACAACTCAGGCGTCTTTAAGTTTCGGATCAATGATGCTATGTCATAGGACTGTCTGTCATTAAGCACATAGGTACCTGCGAAAGCTGCGGAAGATCCTGTAAGGAGTAAGCTCCTAGTCATTGTATGAGTTACCGGTGGCGCGTTCCTAGTTACTGGCACTAGGTACAGCCCCTTACCAAAATCCCATCCCTTAGCATATCATAGCTCTGAGCAACCTCTCATATTCGGGACACTCATGGTTTACGAGTCCCTCTCGATAGTAATAGAAGAGAATATCTCGAAGGTATGGTAAGAGCTATACGTGGTCTTTGCTGAGGAGGGATCAGAGGATCTTCATAAACCTGGGTGGCAAGACCCGAGTCAGGGCAAAGGGATCATTATCTGGACAGGAGAAAAGGGGCGAAACAATGTTGATATCGAAGTGATCTATAAATCCCAAAAAAAGCATCGCTGTAGAAATTAGTTTGGTGCTGTGCGGGGGGGGGGGGGGGGGGGGGGGGGATATTCGACATATTGGGCGTTATAGAAGTCACCATCTGTCAAGAGTTATTGCCTTCAATATGGCTAGCTACCTATCTATCATTTCGAATGGCAGACTTGGATTGTGTTGTTCCTGGTGGCTACAATTGCCATATCAACATCAAATCGAAACTCGTACGATATAAAATTCGAGATCGATAGGTATGCAAGAATTAAAGACATAGGAATAGATATAATTCTTTAACCTAATTGCTGGCAGTGAAGGATCCAGGTATATAACTATTCGTACACCCAGTCTGCAATTTTCTTGCAACACGCGGTAGGGTCACGCATGGATGAATCAGTCATCTTATACAATTATCGTGAATATGTACTACCAGCCGAACTCCCATCATGCCAACCATCCATTGATGTTATAATACGGGACCGTCCACTGCTTGTCGACTTGCGCCCGAGAGAAGATGTGTACTTCCAGTCACTCGGTCCGACCTACCGACCGGTGGTGGCGAAGGCACTCTTTACATCGGCGCGAGGCCATTCAAATAGTACATCACCGCCATATACCGTCGTTGTAACCGTGGAAATCCGAACTTCAATTTCTCCATAGAACTTCTCACATTCTCGGAGGACCCTGTTGACTAGACCACGGCTTAAGCTTGGGTCGTCCGCGTCGCCGAAGTGTTTTTCGACTCGTTTTCGTAACGCTTCGACACCTTTACGTACTTCGCGAGCATCATAGCCGCTGAGGATCTTATTGAACGTCCCTCTTGCGTTGCTCGGTTGTGCGGCAATAATTGCGGGACTCTTTCCTGTAGCGAGTTGCGCTTCGATATTTTCGAGATATTCAAGCAACTTGCCCAGTGGTCGGCGCATGATTGCATTGAGGTAAAGACTCGTGTGCTCGCTCATTTCGCCTGCCGCTGCCTCTTTCCAGTCTTCAAGTATCTCCAAGCCGTGAGTATCGAGCTCCTCGAGGAAGTGGTTCATATTCTCGATAAGGAGGATATGGTAGTTCAGTGCTTCCTTGTCCTCTGGATCGGCCCCGCTATTCGTGAGAGTGGAAGGGTTCTCGCGAGCAATAACCTTAAGAGAATCGAACATAGTCTTGATGATACGGTCATACTCCCTGTCTACCGTTTTCCTGACAGAAGAGTTCGTATCGACTGTCAAAAGCATCATTTCCACAGCATTTGAGAAGTGTGGGAAGACTCGCATGAAGGAGATTACACCCTTGCGTTTCTTAATCTTGACCTTTGTATCCTCGATTGCACGAATCTGCCCCTCTACGAATTTCGTGAAACGCGACTCGAGATTACCGTGAAGTTTTTGCAACACGTTGTTCAAGAAATCTTGGTTAGACTGCGTTATTTCTAAGTGCTTGTGCTCAAGTACTGCAAGAATGCCGACTCCTTGTCTGTTTTTGAATTAGCTATCGTCATGTCAAAGCAATCTAAATATTTTGCACTTACAATGGATCCTGCGATAGCACCCAGTCGATCGTATTCTGCAACTCTTGCTCCAAGAATGAGAATATTGCTTCCATGGCTCGTGTTACTCTCCTAGCTAATTCCCGGTCCGGCTCCATCAGCCTGTGTCGTTTCAGATCACCACCTCGTCGATCTCGTGGTTTTGACGCGGCCACGAGATCGGGGAAATCCGCCGTCTCTAAAGTGGTTGCGTGGAAAAAATCAACGATGAAGTTTTGCTCGATCTCGATAAGGGGTACAAGGTCATCCATCATGCCTGAAAATACTTCATACGGTAGGTTACGACCGTCTGAAATTTTGTCAAGGTTTGTCTTGCTACCGTCACCAAGGGGACCCCGCAAGCTCCTAGCCAGAGTCTGGCTTCGTTTCACGGTGATCTTTCTGGCGGTGGCCATTGTACCTTCCTGCTGTCTCTCAATTTCAGCAGTGAAGAGAAGCTCTGCTTCGTCACCCGAAGGTTTCCTGGCATTCCGCTTCCACGAATCGAGTATGTCCTTGAATCTCGATTTATAGAGCGGGAGATTCTTCTCTTGGTATACCTGTAAGCACTTATTCCAGCCTTCAAGGTTTACCTCCCTAGCGTAGAGTATAAGAGGACTATATCGCCAGAGCAACTCCCGCCCGATATCGTGGTGTCCGGGATCGATCTTTTTGGACAAAGCTCCATCTACGGCCGACCGGATTTCCTGGGCTGCCTTATCAAATTGTCGAGACATGAAAGCACTGAACCTCTGGAGGAATGCTACGCTTTCTGAACGATACATCTCCTTTTTCTCTTGGACAATACGCATTTTGCCGTAATCGGTATTGAGGGTGGAATTTTGTCCTGCGTCTTCGCTCTTTCGAAGCTCTGATCCTGCGGCAGATGAGTCAATTTTCATCATCGCCTTGTACAAGGTAACAAGCGCTGTCTCGACTTCTTCAAGACCTGAAGTCGTCTCGAGGGGTGCTATTGTAAGGGCTTGCAGGTCATCGGAGGTGATAGCACATGTATCAAGCAGAGACTCCAACTCTTTCCTAAGTAGTTTTTGATTTGCTGCTTGCACTTGTAGACCCTGGCCTTGTGCTTCAATATACGCGATATCATCGGATAATGTCTATACGGTGATTAGCGAGACTCATTTGGGTATTTGGGTCTACACTCACAGATAATTCCACACTATATAAAGTTAGTAAGTTGTCGAGTTCGTCACACTCTGCGATGGAAACATCAAGACCCTTTTTAATTGCCTCCACTCGATCATCCTCTTCTTGAAATCGGACGACCCAGCCTCCAGCCTGAGCTTTATTAAGCTCCCGATCTATGTCAAGTTTCATCTCCTCGAAATTACGACCTCGCATTTGGTCACCAGGCACCCAACCAAAGTGATCTAGCCATCTAGCAAATTCTGAGGTCTTATCGAGGAATAGGTTCGTATCTACGCCGAGAGCAGATAAGTATTTTGTATCATTGCCGGCTACGGTTAAGCGTCGAGAGGCTTCCTGCTGACGAGCTGCTTCCATACTCTTCCTCCGATTTTCCTTGGCGGAAGCTTGTAAACTGGCCGGCCGGCTGGAATTAGGCACTGTAACCTTCACCTCAGGGACGAGGGAAGCTTTATCAATGGGCTTCTTCTGAAGATCTAGAGGTTTGGGAGTTTCTGGTTTGGGTTCTGGTCGTGGCGGTGCTGGGACAACGCTCGTTATTCCGTCTGGACCATTGAGGTTTGTCTTGCTTTGCATTTCGCGTAATCGCTCTCCAGCTCCACCAGGCCGCGGTTTAAATGCTGCTGCTGCCGAAGCCGCTTTCCACAGGGCCCCAGCTAGGTCACGTTGGGACTTTGGCTTAATCATAGGTCCTAATCCTGGACGGCTGTCCTCGTCCACTGGTGAACTGGTAGACGGTGATCCGGGCACCTTAGCTTCGACAACCGATCCAGATGCGGATGCCGTGCCGTTTGTCCTATCTACCGGACTCGAGGGAACGTCAGGAATTGGCTCCGGTGCCGGTGCTTGCTTCACCGCGGGAAAGCTGTTCTCCATCCTGCTGTCGGCAGAATTCTTTCGATGTGACATCCGATCTGTATTTCTTGGCGGTGGTTCCCTTCGCATGCCCTGGCTCATTAATGGTGCTGGTACAAGGTCATCATCTGTAGTTTCCTTCGGCCTCGTCGGATCCATTGGCGGTCTTTTCCTGTTGGGTAAGTCCACTTGTGAAGTCGATCCAGAAGGATCACCGAATCTACCCAAGGCACCAGGTCCAGCCAAACCTCCCCTTGATCGCGGCGGTATGCTTGAAGTGTCATCACTTCTCGTTGTGGAAATAGAAGCTGCTATGGATTCTTGACTCTTATTATTCCCAGCTAGTCTACGTAAAGCGGCAGTTTGGCTACCTGTGCGAGCGGAGTCTGCACCGAGTGACGGCGCCGGCGCTGGCGAAGAGGTTCCGTTAGGAGGGGCTAGCTTACGCGCAGGTGAACTAGGTGGCTGATTAGGGCGGAAGGGTTGGAATCCGCTAACGGCGGCTGCAGGAGGAAGATTATTCTGAATAGGTGTAATATTGGGTTGAGATTGTATGGGATCGGGTCTTGAAATTTTAGGTTCCATTCGTGGGGGAGTGGCAATTGGTCTTGAAGGAGGAGGCGTAGGGGTAGGAGTAGGGCCAGTTCGTAATGAGGGAGTCGATTCTGAAGCAGGTACTCGGCCTGGTGGCGGCCTTCGTGATCCTAAGACTTGTTCCAGTTCGCGGGAGTCGAAGCCTTTTAATTCTGGTATGCTACCGCCGGTGTACTTCCCATAGATCTTGATAAGACTAGCAATAAAAAATTTCTTCTCCTTGTCGGCTTGGGCCTGCCAATAGTAAGGCTTCCCGACATTAACGACAAACCCTGTCTCACCAGCCCATTCTCGTTTCTGGGGATCGCAATTTGAAGAAGTAAAGGACTCGATACCACTAAGATCGTTTAAATCCCAGGTCTTTCCAATAGAGAATGAGCCGTTTACATTCTCTTTGGATTTGTGCATGCGCACTCGGCCTGACTTCCGCACTGCCACAATGATGACTCGAGGTTTTTCGGATTGGGATCGTGCTTCGGGCGGCGGAGGGGAGGACGGATGAGAAGAATACTCAGTTATTCTAATATGGGTAATATATGTTTCGAGTACTACATGGACACACAATATACGTCAGCGCCTGGTACGGTTGGGTAGAACACAGGCAATAGGCAACACAAAAATATTAAAGGCAATCTTACTTGACCCATCAACATCCTTCTTGTTGAAGCAGCTTTCCACAATGCGCCTCTTCTCGTCCTCAAATCGTTCAGCTCTATTAAAGTCACGGCCAAAGCCGGGTCCGCCATTTTGGCGCTGGTAATCCATGGTAGGTAGTTAACGGACTATATCGTCTGACGAATTCATGAATATAGATGGCCAAGGACGGTTCGCCGAAGTTCAGGGACCATTTTCGAGTCCGTTCAATATCTCAATGAGCGATAGGGTGAGTTATTGCGACCAAGCTTGCGGAATGCTTAACTAGTTGAGCCTATCGGTAGGTCTCTAGGATTAAGGGTCAACTTTAACGAGCGCGATGGTGGTGGTGATAGAAGGATAGTCGAAGTATGGGTTATGCTTAGTGAAGGGAACGGAACGTTTGATGATGTACTGTGTACAATTTAGTGTCTCAGGGAGTTGAGGCCAAAGCGTCTTTAGGTTATTGCTTCTTGGCATTACGGTTTGATAATTCAAGGTCGCGAATCCCACTTTCCTATGTCAGAATGTCCAGGGAGCGTGCACTCAACGCCACGATTCAAAGCCACATTTCACTTACTATTTTATGTAAGCAAATACATGAATTTAAGACAATAAGCAAAACAAAAAGTACGACAGGTATCTGGTTTGTATACATTTCTCAACACTTCTCTTCAATTATATCTCTCCATGATCTCCTTAACCTTTTGAAGAGGAAGAGCCTCAATCTTGTGCTCCTTATTTCCTACCATTGTTTCTGCCATACATAAAGCATTATATATCGACTCTTCAGTGGCATCTGCAACAGCTTCAAAAATCCCGTTGATCGAAGAATCGTCTATAATATCAATTGTGATAGGCGTAGGCTTGAATGGGTCGACTGCTTTCCGCTCCATTGAGATTGACTGAACTGGAATCTCATTTCCGGTTGAGAAGGCTAAGAACACATCCCCGGAAGGGTTGTGACCATAGCCTCCAACCTTTGATAGTCCCACCGTTGCTCTCTTAGCAAGCCTTTGCATTTGAGAAGGGTGAAGAGGTGCGTCTGTCGCAATAATAACAATGATGCTCCCGTCTTTTCTGTTCTTCTCCTTTTCAAGCGCTTCTCGTGCCATTTTGATTGCTGGATTACTCTCGGTAGCTTGATCGGCCTCCCGAGCTAGGATCTTCCCAACCGGTACACCTGCAATCCGGAGGTGCTGTGGGCGACCATAGTTGGCCTGCACTAACACTCCGACAGTATATGTCTTTGGTTGACCTTTGCTGTCGAATCCATCAACGACTCTGCTACTGCTACCGGTACCGCCCTTGAAATAATGACATATCACTATGATATATCGATTAGGACGATTTGCTAGTTAAAACATGGCGTAGATATGACTTACTTCCAGTTCCACCGCCGACGTTACCTTCCTTGACACGGTCGCTTGATACGCTCTCGAGTCCTTTAATGATATGCTCGGGTTTAATCACGAATTGAGTAAGGTCATTGAGGTATCCATCAAAGGTTTCAGCAACCACGGGTAGGAGGAACCAATCGACATTCCCCTTAGTCACACCCTGAGATTTGATGGTATATTCATAAATTCCCTGGTACGCGGCACCTACGGCGAATGAATTTGTGATGACGATGGGCGAATGTAATAAGCCCGTTTCATTGATCCAGTGACTACCGGTCATCTCACCGGAACCGTTGAAACTGAATATTCCGGCATGACAGGCATTATAAAACCAGTTTTCTCGGGGCAGAATGCTCGTGACACCGGTATTGACGGCACCGTCATCGGTGATAATCTCCTGGGTGTGGACCAGGACGCCGGGAACATCAGTAAGCGAATTGAGGGGCCCTGGTTTCCAGTATCCGAGGTGTAAGTCTGGCAAAAGATCCCGGAGTCGCATGCGAGGCTCCTTGCCGGCGGTTGTGCTGGAAGCTGTTGACGACATAATAAGAAGGTGACGTTGAGTTCAATTTGAAATTTATATTATTCTGTGTCCCTTCTCGTCTTCTTCCATTGCTGACATTGGCCCCAACTGAGGTGGTTCCCTTTATATTGGAACATGTTCTTATAAAATTGATATGTCGTTGATAATTACCCCGGTTGACTCACACCGGACACTGACGAATCACGATCATTGATATGAATGAACCTTTGCTCAATTTGGGAGGTCAGTGGCGTTATGGTATCTAAGTGGATTTGAAATACCAATCGTTTTATTCTCTACGTGGGATCCGTTGTAACCTTGAGTATACAACGAATTGGAATCCGCGCTAGATCAATTTCAATTTAAGAGCTATGCATGAGAAGTTTCGCAGACTAGTTACCTAAGCCTCGAGTTTAAATTTCACTTTAAGCCGGGAAGGTGAAGCTTAATACAACAATGGATCCCCAGATTTATTGAACCGAACCTCCCCCATTTTGTCTCCATTATGCGGAGAAGGTACCTATTTATTACCGGTTCGAACCGGCAACAAGCTTATTCCCCCACAGCGGGACGCATTTTACCCCACATTGTCTTCTCTACTTTTGTCCTAGGTTAAGAGAGATTCCATCCATCTCATCCGCTCACATTAATAAATAGATGATAGACGATACGTTTAGTGTATGAGAAGAAAAGCTATTGCAACTACAATTCAATATTATATACTCATTAGCCAGTCAACTAATACTCGTATAAAACATCCGAAGAGAGAGAGATTGAAACACATATATACCTCCAACTATAAAGATGGTTGCTGTAGTTCGAGTAGCTCCGAATGTAAGTTCTTACTATTAAATGTTATATTAGATAGGTTCTAATACACAAGGAATAAGGCTGCTACAAGAGCAGTTAGTCTTCTACGGACGGTTCAGTATGCTCACCCGCCAAATTGTCCATGTCATTCAAACCCGGGACATCATCATCATCATGCAAGACCACAAATTAATGCGTATGCTCAGCATACCAATAGACGGACAGGGAGACGCGGCTTTGCTTCCCCTATAGACTTTTCTCAGCAGAAGGAATATGCGTTTGAGATGGCCGCCTCTTCAATCCGATTTGGCCCTGGTGTCACCCAAGAAGTTGGCATGGACTTTAAGAACATGGCTGCTAAACGTGTTTGTGTCGTAACTGACTCAACTGTTCGAAAACTCACTGCTGTCAAACAAGTAGAGGAGGCCTTATCGAGAGAAGGGATAGAATATGAAATATTTGATAAAGTACGAGTTGAACCAAAGGATAGTTCGTAAGTTGACACCAAATTCTGCAATATATCTCGCATCTTGACTTACTCAAACATAGTATCAAAGAGGCTATTGCATTTGCTAAACTACATCAACCGGATGCTTACCTTGCAGTAGGCGGGGGCTCGGTGATAGACACGGCTAAATTGATGAACCTCTACACCGAGTATCCCGATGCTGACTTCCTAGATTTCGTTAATGCACCGTTAGGTAAAGGACGGCCAATTGACAAAAAGCTTAAGCCTCTAGTCGCTATTCCCACCACAGCTGGTACTGGTAGTGAGACGACTGGTACGGCTATTTTCGACCTCGTAGAAAAGAAGGCTAAGACTGGCATTGCGCATCGCAACTTAAAACCGACCCTCGGTATATGCGACCCGCTCAACACTAGGACGATGCCTTCAGCAGTGAAGGCGAGCTCGGGACTGGATGTCCTCTGCCACTCGCTTGAGTCGTGGACAGCCATCCCGTTCAATGAAAGAGTACCCCGGCCCTCGAATCCCATATTAAGACCTGCGTACCAGGGCGCAAATCCTATCAGTGACATATTTTCTCTAAATGCACTCCGAAGTACCGTTAAATACCTACCGAGAGCAGTCAAGGACCCAGAAGATTACGAAGCCCAAAGCGAGATGCTCCTCGCCGCCACGCTTGCTGGGGTTGGTTTTGGAAATGCTGGTGTTCACTTATGTCACGGTAAGATACAGTCTTAAGTATAAGCCAACAAGACCATACTAACAGAGAATATTAGGAATGTCATATCCCATCTCCGGTCAAAATCCCGGTTACAAGCATGCGGGATATGATGTAGCGACGCCCATCATTCCTCATGGCGTTTCGGTCGCAGTGTCAGCGCCCGCCGTGTTCCGATTTACGGGTGCGTCGAACCCTGATCGCCACCTCGCTGCCGCAGAAGCGTTTGGTGTGGATATCACGAACGTAAAACGTGAGGATGCTGGCGAAGTCCTAGCCGACGCCATCACACAATTCCTTGCTGAGCTAGGAGACCAACCTAAGGGACTTAAAGAATTAGGCTTTGACTCGAGCCACATCGACGCCCTAGTTGAGGGGACGATACCTCAAGCCAGGGTTCTGATGCTGGCGCCTGGTCTAGCTAAGGAACTCGAGCAAGAGAGGGATCAGCTGAGGAGGCTTTTCGAGGAGGCGTTAACGCACTGATGGAGAGACTACTTGCTGTGCTGCACATCACCTATATAAGATAGCCGTACATATAGATAGTCTAGACATCAATTGACTCCGATAAAAATAGACATGGGGTTCGCTGGCTTAATATAATTATGCTAAGATTTAAGAGGTCACAACATACGCATCTTGTGGGATACACTTGTTGGCTATATTTCAAATTAAAAGATACTCTATAGAATCGAATCGAAAACTATCTAATATTATATTTGCGGTAGTCTCCTTTCTGCAGGATACCTAATATACCTTAGGTCCTTAATCTATTATAACTTTTTGGTTGCTAGGAGTTTTAACTATTACTTTACAACAGTAGTTACTAACAAGCAACTAGTCGCTCCTCTATGCTTGTGTTAGTATTCTTCGTAAAGAAAAATAGTCTTAAGCAATAGTTGTAGCAATATGGAGTAGTATGTCAAATGGTAGGCTGAGACTATGCAGATGACACTTCAGCTATTGCCGAATGTAACTGAAATCGATCCCACCGTGTTGAATCAAGCAGGCTTTGACAACACCTTGAAATGTCTTGGCAACTATCATAATTGTAGACCGAAGTGCTGACCCTCGGATAGACTTCATAATCTCGGTTACTATTTTAATGTCTCTTTGATGCTGCTCAGATTAGCTCGTGATTATCTTCTACACTGTTTATTTGTCATAGCTGAAGATTTGGTTCAGTTTCTATCGTAATATCAGTGTATACCCCCACAACTTACAGTGTACCCCTCTCGTCGGATGTGACCTAGCGAGAAATCATGCTCGCAAACAAGCAATATCTATCTAATGTTAGGGTTACCAAGTTATATGTAAGTCTTCAACGACGTATTACATCCATCAAGCGACGCTGAAGTCGTTTATAGTACGGTATCTTAATTTACCGGCCGAGTAAATATCCCGTAGCGCGATCGGAGGTGCCGTGGGTACATCTATCGATCTTGCAGGGCTTCCGTTATGACCTGCAGATTACATCGGGGCCAAGTCCGCAAAACCAAGAGCCGAAGATTAATAGAATACGACTTAAACCAATCAACGGCTTCGGTCCGAAGTCTTCGGCCCTACAGATACGCGCAAAGAAGGGACTGCAAAAAAGGTTGTATCGATGTCGACCGGGCGATGAGGACAATGTTGCTTTCGCGTTCTTGCTTCGGCTGGATTTGCTTCCATCATTGGTTCGCTCGTCAGGCTTTCGTAGGCGATAAGTGTAGGCTTAAAGCTTACAGCCCGATACTCCGAGGATATAACGAGCTGAAAAGGCTCAAAAGGCTCAAAAGGGCTGCGAGGTTTATAGAGCCTACCGCCGCGGAACGTACGGATCCAATTAAGACCCCCCGCGCGAGGAGGATCCCTGGTAGTGGTCCTGATCCGGCCCGTTGGGAACTCTGGGTCAAAACGCATCTTTTCAGCTATAGCATTTTTGTATATCGCGCATAATCTGATAATAGTCACCGAGATTGCTGACTGCTTAGATCCTGGATGTCACCAATTACATTACATGGTAAGCTTAAGGTCCATTTATTTTTCTAGCGCTGAGACACTTCGGAATGCCCATTATCGACGGGACCCTTCATATCGCGTGTCTACGGGCGATTCGAATTCTAACCCGCGTGGCGATCTTGTTTCTTTGCCGATTTCTCTCAAGTGCTTACGGTAACGGACCATCTGCGCTACACGAGTGCTACATACCTATAGATCTATATCTACTCGCGCCAGTGGGCCAAGAATATCGCCAAGGCCGTGGAAGCGAACCACTGCCGGGGTGCCTTGGCATCTAGAACTCGAACCCATATGAGTGTTACCCCTGCTTAGTCTCTGCAGTGGAATCACTAACAGCAGAGTATGTCTTATTCGGGTGGCACAGCATTTTCAATTTGGGATCACGGAAGCCTTTCCCCCGGCCCCCTTTTCGGGACTTGCTGCTTAGAGAAGCTGGGGTAAGAAATGGGGGACAGGGGTGTTCCGTAAAGAATAATAAAAACATCATCATGTCCAGGATCGATACGGGATGGATGTAAGGCTGTTGTTCCATCTAGCTCCTCTCCGACACGTGTAGGAGGACCGTCGCAGAGATATTTCGATAACGATGGAAGAAAAGGAAATTAACGCGGCTGGTGTTCTGGTGTCTCATGAGCAGGTTCCCGTGAGCGAGGGATCAGGCTCGACGACGACAAACACTCCGGGTGCCAAGGCCAAAGTAGTGCACAACGTACGTTCGATTCAACTTCTGTCAGGACGCGATACCTTCTTTCGTTCGACGCTTTTATTAGTTTCAATTTTTTAACTAGATACCAGGCCGAACTCTACGCGGCGATCCAAGAGACTAAAATCGATTATAAGAGCAAATATTCGATACACCTTTACTGTATGCATCGAAACCAGGCTATGCGCTATTCCATTCTTCGCAGATTACTGACGACTAGTAGTCTCCATTTGCATCGCGTTCTGTTGCGCTTGCGCCAATGGATACGATGGTAAGTAATACTCTACGGAAAGTTTCCAAGGTTTACAGATTGTTGACAAACATCATCATCTAGGATCACTCCTTACTGGTATCGTCGCCATGGAACATTTCCAGAACACATTCCATAGCGGCAAAACTGGCACTCTAGTTGCACTTATGTTCTCTCTCTACACTGTGTCCGTCTTCCCTCCTGATTACCTTGGTTATCTGTATTCATAAGCTGACGGTTTTGCTTCAGTGGTGCGATGGTCGGCGCTCCATTCGCTGCCGTCCTCTCTGATAAATATGGTCGCAAGATTGGCATGTTCAGCGGTGCCGTTATCATTATCGTCGGAATGATTATTGTTGCCACCGCTTCTACGATCGCGCAATTTGTCGTCGGTCGTTTTGTTCTAGGATTCGGCATTTCCGTCATGACTGTTGCCGCACCAGCTTATGCTGTTGAGGTAGCGCCTCCTCACTGGCGAGGTCGGGCTACTGGTATGAGACACCTTCTGATATTATGCGAGTATAATCGTGGCATACTAATGGTCTCCCGTAGGTTTCTATAACTGCGGTTGGTTTGGGGGCGCCATTCCTGCAGCTGCGGTCGTATACGGATGTAACAAGATTGACAACAACTACTCTTGGAGGATCCCATTGATCATTCAGGCGCTTGCTTGTGTGGTTGTTCTATTTGGTGTCTGGTTCATCCCCGAATCACCTCGATTTCTCATGGCCAACGGCCGTGAGGAAGAGGCTATTAACTTCTTGGCGAGGTACCATGGGAATGGTGACCGTAACTCCAAACTTGTGCAGCTTGAAGTTGAGGAAATGAGGGAAGGTATTCGCCAGGATGGCATTGACAAGAGACCCTTGGACTGTATGTCTTCCTCTTTCCGCTCCGTGGTCCAAGCAACCCATATCACAAGGACTAACTGTTATGATAGACCGCCCTTTTATTTTCAGCCATAGTGGACGATGGCGAATCGCTCAAGTGCTGATGATTTCTATTTTCGGTCAATTTTCTGGTAATGGATTAGGTTACTTCAACACCACTATCTTCGAGATCATTGGCGTCACATCCGTTGAGCTGCAGCTGGCCTATAACCTTCTCAACTCTGTGCTATCTGCCATCGGGGCCTTGACTGCTGTGGCTCTAACAGATACTATGCCCCGTCGAAAGGTGTTGGTATTCGGAACACTCGGTTTGCCTCCCTTTACCCCTAAATGTCATGACATTTTTGCTAATAGATAATTGTCTCGTGTAGCCTGCGCTGCAGCATTAGCTACTAACTCCGGTCTTTCCGCCACCTTAGACGCTCAAGGGGAGAATATACAAGAGTCTTACGCCAAGGGTGCATTGGCGTCTTACTTCCTTTTTAATATCATATTCTCCTTCACTTATACACCTCTCCAGGGTGTTATTCCCACTGAAGCGTTGGAGACTACCACCAGAGCTAAAGGTCTTGCTTGTTCCAGCGTTCTCGTATATGCCATGGGATTCATAAACCAGTTTGCTGGACCTATTGCTTTGGGGAATATTCAATACAAGTATATCTACGTAAGACACTCCTTATACCCATTAACTATTGTAGGGAGATACTGACTTAACTCTTTGTAGGTGTTTGTCGGATGGGACGTTGTTGAAGCGATACTCTGGTATTTCTTTGGGTTCGTAGGCTCATATTACCATATCTTTGCAATGTTCACTAACTCATTATCTATAGTGTTGAATCACAAGGCCGAACTCTCGAACAGCTCGAATGGGTTTACAACCAGCCCAATCCTGTCAAAGCGTCACTCCATGTTGACAAGGTTATCATACAGGAAGATGGCAAGGTGGCTGAGAAGGTGGTTACGAGTAATGCATGAGCACGTTTTTGAAGGTACCTAGATTTCAAGTCTCATCTAATAAGGACATTGAATCTGCATTGAATTTGTATTAATTATTAGCATTGGAATCGGGGTTGGGAAGATCTGGTGCTGATGCATAGAAGGATAACATAGGCAATGATATCCAAATTTATATTATCACTGCGCTTAGCTACATCCTTCCCTCCGGATCTGCCAAAGTGACACAGGGTCGATGACTTGGCAGGGTAGTTCTAGATGGTAGATTGCATCTCCGTGAGAATTTATGACCCCTTGAATACACTCCTGCTTTAGTTCAAGTTGAAGGTCACGAAATGAAAGCTTTGAAACGGTGAGCTGCCATGACTTAACAACAAGAGGACTCAGCTCTAGATGCCACGTTCCGCGCCAAGTTACCGAGGCACTATCTCGGTCTATACGATATATGAACGCACAGGCATGTGCCTTTCCACCATTCCAAAGCACAAATGTATGTATCTTGGACATCTTCCGTACAAGGACACTGGCTTGGCATAACAAACCCTCAATCTGCTTACGCTTTTCCCTGTCCTCCTTAAGGAGCTGTGATGTGAGCACCAGAGATAGTAGATGTGACCAGCTCCACGTCGAGTGACAGTGTTGAAAGAATTCTTCTGCATCAATCATATATGAGATAGCAAGGTATTGTAAGTCAAGGCTTTTAGATGCGAAAACCGCACTAAGCCCTTCGCTAGGATCGACCAAATTAAACCAGGGTATACGGGCTGGCCGCTTTGGAAATCGATCATAGAACTTGTAGGAGTCCTCAAATATTATTAATCCTTTGAGGGTATCTGGGAGACTATTTCGAATTGTAGAAGAAAGAGCTATCTCTAAGTATTAGTTGTGAATGATTAGGATATATTCAACATGGTGAGAAGATGAAATTCGGGGTTCCTGCTGCAGGCGTGGGTGCGTACCTCGACTACGAAATTCGCTGGTCATATCTTCATAAGGCGTCCACGGCTCATAGGATATATGCTCTAGACGATCGAATCTACTGAGTAACAAGCCCAATCCCATTGGACCGATACAACGCCGGAGCTGTCGACGGATAATGAAGCTGGTGACTGCTTTTACTCAAGGCAACGTTTCGGGGAACACTAACCAGATGGGTCGGAAGAGTCGTAATATAGCTGGTCTTGGAGGAGCTTTAACTTGTTGACCACGCACCCAACCATGCTGCAAGTCATGAAACTGAATTCCAGTCTTCGGTGCATTCGGAATTCCGCCCTCGCTATGCTCAACTTCAACAGTGGACAAGTATAAGTTCTTAAACCAATGTTCGCAGTCGCTAGGAGAGTATACGTTGATCTCCAATGCCAAGTTATTCGTCGGTGCCCAAGTACTAAGAATAGAAAAAAGTTTCCATATCCCGTCACTGACCATAGAGCTGATCCTTATTGATGGCGAACGTCGTTTTAAGCAACATGTGGAGGTGTATCGTGGTAGTTCAACATTGAAATAGATGTGGTGAATAAGCTCCCTCATCTGTGATGAAACGATATGTTCGAAATCCTCAAGAGAAGATAATCGTATATTTATTTTGTAGAAATTGACCTCCTCTAAAATTTGCTGCCATTCTTTGCATACAGATTCAAGAGAAGCCCAGCCAGGATATTTCTGATATGCAATTATCGCCAAGATTATCAGACGAATCTCTGCAGGAAAAGATGTCCATGTCAAGGCTTTTCCCCTTGTTTGGCTGCGGGTTTTCATTCTGCAACGTCTGGAAGAGAAATAGCAGGCTCCCGGCACAAAAACCGGCGTCATAGGTATCGGAACAGAACAGGTAAAGTTACTCAAGGTCTCAAATGGTGCGAGGCCATTCTTTTATATTCCATCGTACTCGTAGCGCAATTATTCAACTTTACCCTCGAGAAATACTAGAGGGCCTAAGCGTCTGGTGCCTCTTCTGAGCTCTAACCTGGTACGTTTTATGGGAACTTTAAGTGTTTGACTCTGGCAATGTTTTGTTACGAAATAGGCTCGTGGTTCGCTTTACTGTTATGTAATTAGAGAACTATCCTTGTGCTTTATGTATATCAAATCCGAAAAGGGGCCGCGTTAGTTATATTCGAATCACCGTGATACGGCCTATTGTCATAGTTGAACAACAAGTGGTTGATTTATACTTACCCTAATGTAGTAATTATGCCAATATAACATTCCATACATTTGTTACTTGCTATTTCTATTTCTAGAACCACTTGCCTCGTATATCAGCGTACAATTGCAGCTAATAATTACGCAACAACTCACCCAGACATATATTATAGAAGAGAAACTAGCATACCCTCGTGTTGGAAACGACACGAACACGAGGTTCGATGCTTATTTTAATACCAACTCTACCTAGGTACATATGTGCTTCCTAAAAATTGACGAGTAGTAATCACATTTTACAACATATTGAAGGACCTTCACGTCAACCTTAGCGAAGCTCAACTGAACACCTTCGGTTTGATCTTTACGAGCACGTCAACTCTCTAGGATGGTAATAATAAGTCCACCAAAGAGGATTACCTACTGGATCCATGGTATAATTTCTTGCCTGGGAGAGAAGAAGACAGGACCTAAGTTCAATGAGAATGACTGGGAGTACATTTGAAGTTGCCATCTGCTGGTGCTGGAAGGTTGACCACACAAGCAAAGAATGGACAGAATAGTCAGCTAACACGTGGTGGCACCTGTTATTAATGTAAAATATATTTTAACAAATTCAAGGCAGACGAAAAATATGATTGTTTTCTTAGATCTATCATGTGTATTAGCTTGTGCCTCCAAGACAGGCTATATTATGGAGAATACAACAATCAATAACCTTTACATAAGGATGAGTACTGATAAAGACGGAAAATGATTCAAGAGGCTTAGAGAATTTATTTTAATGTAGGATTAGGTTTCTTTCAATTATACATGTAGATACTTAGGTAGCCATTTACTTATCTCCTTATCGAAGGGCTTTATGGGTATGGTCTCCTAGCTGATAACCATTGCTGTAGACTTTCACCTACATGTTATGGGTAGGATGTATTAGCGTTCCATATGAGATATCTACAATAAAGGATACTGTCGGAGGTATGCACAGCTTAGAGTTCCTCGCGTAATAACTTCGTTGTTTCCTTGCTTCTTGCTCCACCTCATGACAGAATGGAAGGGGCGACATTATTTGATTGTCATGAACGGATCCGATAATGAATTAAGCCGAATAGAACTAACGATTATAGGGGTAACTCAACTCCACAACTCCCTTTCTGAGGCACCATTCCGGTCACCTGCTATCTAATCGTGGTAACCCTTCGGGCAATACAATCCCGCCAGCCAACACTTCCAATTGAACCCTGGATCTCAGGCCTGGCAGCACGACCTGGGAATAATTCGAGGGCATTCGGCCAGAATTTACAAGAATCTTGTGCAAGTATACACACTGTTCGCGTTCCGATCCACACCAATACCGCTCATTGGCTAAAACCTGCTCTACCAGTCATCTTCAGGAGGTGGTCGTGGCCGGCTATGCCATTTGCCAACCTCACTTTCTTTGGATAGCACGGCTGGGCGGGGCATCGCAAAATGCTCACTATAGTCCAGCCCAGTGGATGTCTTCTCAAGCTTCCTCTTGGTAGGCATAGGAGCAATAGCCCGATGCTGAGCGTGGTAATGGGCAAATCGGCAGGCGTCTTGGGGCTTAGTACACCGGTTACCATCCGCCCAAAAATGGCAAATCAGCGGCTGACGTAGTCCATCCGGAATATCCTCATGGTAGAATTTGCATTCTCCATTTTCGTAATCGCGGCAGGTATAGCCAGCTGTAGACCACCAAGGACAGATGATCTTGGACTGGCTTCCAGACTTCGTACCAGTCGAGCCACGGCCGTGCTTGTCTCCGATAGACATGCCCCTATTAATGAGGATTAATTGAAATTCGGTAGGTACGTTGGGAGGTAGTTAGTAAACATGAAAAGGCTACTTACCCAAACTCATTACCCAACCCGAGGAGATCTTGAGATCGCATGGAAACAGGCGTCTCTTTTCCCGGACCTGGGAGGCCAATTGTTGTCTCCGCCGCCGTAGGAGTGGCGTCGGTGTTGGTACGGTTTTGATCTGCATCGATGAGACCCAAGATAGTTTCATGGGTTTCATTGCTGATGCGACCGGCACCGAGTAGAATCCCAAGTCCCTGTTGTAATAGCATACTGTCAATACTCATGTCTTTGTTTTCAAATAATCACGGCGATATATAATAGTGTTTACTTACAGTAAAGACCTGGGTCATGCCCCGGTTAACCATGTCGTTGTTGGCCATCCCGCGACGTTATGTTGAGTAGGTGAATAGGCGAGTAGGCTTAGGTAGTTACCGAAAGGATAAAGGTGAGGAATTATGGTTAGGTGGTTAACTGTCCTGAAGCCGTTAAGGGAATAGAGGTTATCGTGCGGGTGGTTGAGAGGAGGAAGGTTCAAGTCGGGTAGATGTTGTTGTCCAGCCTGGAGTTAAGGGTAGGGTAAAGGTTGGTAGGTTTAATTTATGTGGCCAACGTGTAATTATGTGGCTTAGGTTTGTATGTATCGATGTATCAGTTGAGTTCATGGCGGAAGTCGCGTTGTGTCCTTGCAAATATATAAGGAGCGTCGCTTCCTCAGAGTTGATCAAAAGCTTCGCGCTAATAGAGTAGCGCCTCAGCTAATTCGTTAGGGACGTGTTGTAACCCCTGATACAGTGATAATAATAACGTTTTCTTAATCATGGGCCTGCTGATTCACTGAAGCCCACATTATGAGGGAAACAGCGTCGCCCGGACCACAACGCGACTTCTTTGTAGGTTAGGTAGGTTAGGTAGGTTAGTTATGTTAGGCAGTGATAAATTAGAGTAGTTTGTTCTTGGCATGGTGTTTTCCTAGTCACTTGCTTTATGTACTTTTCTAATAGCGAAGCTTGGACCGCTATAGTATCAGTGTTCAGTAGTACCTAGGTACATGATCAAGTTGCACCTTCCCTTGAGCTCTGCTACAATGCATTGACCGGATGACTGATGTTTGGTGAATACTTAGAGGTACTCAGGTAGTTTGTGTGCTTCCTTCCTTCCCTACATTATAAGATTAGGTTATTTTTCATCCTATGGTAGAGAGGCTAAGGGTGTATCATGAGGCATGCCTAAGGGGAAAAGAGTAACACAAGAAAACAATACATAGGTACATGAGCAAGAATGGTACCTAAGGTAGGTATATTTGCAGTAAATAGCTACCTTAGGTACCTAAGGTATATGTTAGTATTCCTAAGGGGTTTAGTAAATTGAGGTTCTTGTATACATTGGTTGAGTATCGTCATTAGTGGGTTATGTAGACTTAACCCCTGGTTTGGTAGAATTGGCTTGTTGGGTAGTTTTACTAAACATCGAAGATGACGAGTCTCGAATGAACATATTCACGTAGAATGAGATTAGAGATATAATTCACCCTTTTGGAATATTATATACGTCAATATGTAGTCCAAAGTTCAAAAAGAAGTAGGGGTTAAGGCGTAAGTCAGTCTCTTATATCTCTACTTCCTCCTCCTCAACCAGTAACACAGGTTATTAATATGGTGGTGCAATATCCCTTGCAAACACTATTCTGAGTCATGTGTACTTCCTTCGTATAAGAAGAATGACTAACTACTTCCTAACCATCCGTAATTCAATAGATCTTGGTGGCATCAAGCCATGTGATCATCTAAGCATAGGTAACTACCTGTGGTACATAGAGGTTTGTTAAGACCAGAAATTTTCATATAGGTGGCCAAAATATTAGGTAATGTCATATTTCATACCTTACCTAATATCTCATTGACGCCCCTATACTATTAATTCCAGATAATAAATATGACTATTAGTATCTGAGCTTTTATTGCTGATACTATTATTATTAGGAGATTGATATTGGCAGTTGATAGATTAAAACCATCTTCATTCGTTAATAGATAAGGTAGTTTCTAAATCAAGGAGATCTTATTAAAGACATCCATAACGGATGGCACTCCTATATAATATTACGTAGAGGGAGACATATTTCCTACAAAATATTAAAACACCACTTGTACTAACATTACTCACATCAAGTTGACATACTTTCGGGTGCCGGATGAGTTTACCAATCCATTCCATTTACGACTATATCTAGAGCTGTTATATCATGTTCCGTCTCAGTAACAAATTGTATTATACTGGAGAATGCCCCTTCATCGAATTCTACTCTACAACGTCGTACTGACAACATTACTATTTCTATAATAACAATGACTAACTTTTACTGAGCCTGTCCTATTTCCTATAGCCACGTAAGTAAAGAGTATCAACTACAAACAAGCGCAGCTTAAGATTACATAATAAGGAGAGAACACACTATTATGGAATCCGAGTTTGGCTGATATGGAGTTCTATTATTGGTAGGCAGAGACAATTTGAACTATTCACGTTGTATCGCCACGTCTTTCCCCTTACTTTCTTTCAATTCTCGTGTAATGCCTTCTCGTTCTAGCACCAGGCTAGGACTCCTAGCACCAACAAGATTTTGTTATACAGTTTACTCAACGAGAGCTCGGCTATGCAAACGGCGACCAAACGCATATACTGCCTAACATTGCGTATGATACCTGAATACTTTCTCTCGAGATCAATTTGTTTCACCCGCCTCTATGTCCTCCCAATACCTCTCGCGCGCCTTGAAAACTAGGTTTGGGCCGTCGTGGCTGACAACAACACCGTCGTACAATTGAAACTCATTTTGCCTGCCACGCCAGCCATCTCTTCCTGGAATTCCCTCCCCTACCTTGCCTGCTTCGCCGGGAGCCCTCTCAAAGTCAAAGTACCAGATTGTCTTAGCCAGGGCCATGCTCAATTCCAAATACGCCATGGCTTTGCCCGCACAGCCGCGATCACCTAGTAAGAAAGGTTGGAAAGCACGCCTCATGGTGGCGCGCACTTCACGTTCTTGGTCTGTCTCGTGTTCGTGCGCCAACCAGCGCCCGGGCTGAAAATTAAAGGGCTCCGGAAAGTACTCAGCATTATGTAGGAGCGCGTAAAGATTTACAGCGACCTCGGTTCCGGGCGGTATGATATGGCCATCGACAACTAATGTTTCGCCAGCCGCAGCTGAAGACGTGTCTTGCTCCCGCCAAGTGTAGGCGAGGGAGGCTGGCGCAATGCGAAGGACTTCGTCTATGACAGCTCTTAGGTACTTACATCCAGCTAATCTGGGGCCCTATTGTTCAGTTAGCAGTGTGATAGTCCCGGGTAACGGAGCTACCTTACCTGGCGGATCTCACGTCCTGAGGAGAAAGTCGTCCGAATCTCTCTTGCGAGATGGGCGTATGCGGCTGGGTACCGTGAGAGGTAGAAGAAAGATGCCGTCATAGCCGTATTGACCGTACCTCCGCCTGAGAATATGGGTGGAGTTAGCACACCTTCACGAGGATCTAGTAAAGGGGTACATATGAGGAAATTATTATCTCTGCCTCACCTGCGGCTATGAAGAAGACTGCCTCGGGCCAGAGCTCAGCTGCACTCAAGCCTTGCTCTCCCGGACTAATCTCGCCCGTTGCGAGTGCGTAGAAATCGTGCTTCGCATCCTTGGGTAGAGCCATCCGAGCGCCGATCATTTTGCGCAGAGCCAAACGAAATGTCGCGGCCCTTTTACGGCCCAACCAGCCAAGTAAAGGTGCGACAATACGCGTAGCTGGCCATGCCATTATAAGCGTGCTTAGAGTACTAGTGGTCTTGAGTGAGTCGGGGACGAGCTTGTTAGTCTCCTCAGTTTGGGTATTAAGCGGATATCCAAATGCCAGTAGGCCAACAATATCAACGGCAAGACGCTCGCAACGCTCTGTCATGTTAACGGGGCTGCCCTGCTGACTGGACTCAAGTAACTGCCGCAGGAAGATGTCCATAGTGGCGCTCATGGTGGGTTCAAAGGCTCGCATAGAGCGCTCTGAGACGACGGGTCCGACCAGCTTGCGTTTTCGGTGATGTGCCTCCCTGTCCAAGGTAGACCACATACTGGGGTTTCCACTGCGGCTTACATAGGAGTACGAACGTCCTTTATTGACACGTGAATTTGCGTAGATATCTTCCTTAATTATCAGCACGTACACACAATAATGAACAGTGGTTATAAGTGGCGTCACCATGTACTGCCGCTGCGGTATTAAACACAAGACGGTTAGGCCCTAACCGCACCACGGAGCCTAGTTTCAATTAGCAAATCTTCAATAAGGTATCGAAGAGAGAGAATTAAAATCTCACCATATCGTAGATGATCGTTATATGTAGCAAGATGCATGCATCGACGAACAACATGAAATGCCCCATAGGCGTTGGTGAACTTCGCGATAAGTGGCCCGGGGTAGGCTCTTAGTGGGTGAAATGTAACCTGGTAGCTCAAGTAAAAGAGAGCCTACATTGAAAAGAGGTATTAGCTATAAGCCAAGACGAATAAGCCAGGATAGCAGAATAATAGAGCAGTAGAATAGTAGAACAGTAGGCTTACCAGTGGCACAAGGATGCCTAGCGTGTAAAGTGCGGCTGTCGGCAATATATTAAGGAAGCTAGATGCCATTCTTAATGCCTAGAAATATGACGTTGAAAAAAGAAAATCTCGAGTGCTGACTATCAGATTGTGTGAACAAAGCCACTATCATGTTGAGTCTAGGAAGGTTGAGGCAGACAATCGTCTTCATGTCTCCCTTGGCCAGACAGGTAATAAAGACTCTTCCACCCCACGTGCAGCATATGGCTCTCCCATCTTACCTTGGGTACCTTATTACCTTAGGTAGGTAACTGGTTATTCATGTATCGATATACTCGAATCCTAATGCAGTTATTTGAATCACGCCCCTGCTGATACGACGACTTGGTGCAGCCTACACCCCCCTCCATCATTAATCTCAAGTTGGTCACCAATAGCTTATTTTTAATAGGGTTGCTTTCTGTGTGTCTCAAATAAAGAATATGAAAGCCTGAATATTAGAGAAGAAACATCAAAGGTTGCCTTCTCAATACGAATTACACATCCCGTTGGAGTCTATATTGGTCATCCTTATCTTCCATGTCGTAGTCGGTGAAAACTAGGATTTCAAATTTCAGCTTTGAAAAAAAACAAAAAAAAAAAGCAGGTTGTAGTTCCAGTTACACAAACTGGCTGTTATAGGTAATAAAATGCGAGTGCATTTGCATACATATACAACGTCCCATCCAACGCTACTTAATTTGGAGAGGTTACAATTTGTTGGCGCCGGCTGGTCCAACTTGCGCTTTGCTTTAATGTTACCTTTTTTATAAGGCAGGCTGAGCAGCATAACTATATTTGTCACATAGGTAGTATGAGATGTACTTATGTATATCTCAGTATGTAAAAAAGGTGACGTAACGATGCAAGGCATGTATGTCTTTGTTAGATGCAAATTATATAGATTATACTCGGTCGCATACATCAGTCAAGACTGCAGGGTCGCATGTAGTCGTTTCAAGGCAAAAAGCTTGAATTGAAATAAGGTTGTTTTAAACGATCTTTAATGCGTGTACATAATATGAGGCCGGTTAGCTGGTTGGCTAATTAGATAGCCCTACTATACGAGGCTATCTGATTAGATATGAAGCTGGCCAATAAAAAGGCGTGTATCTTAAATAGATTGATGAGATTGGAGGGTATAGATAATACTTGGGCGATACCTGCTGGCCCCGCTATTCATGCAATTATACCTCATATTCTGCCCCCCCTTATTGTCCACTTAGTATTGCTCTTTAAGAAATCCCAATAACTATACCCTAATTACATGATACTTTTCATCTTGCATAACGGCGTACTATCGAGGTCTATTATAAGAATAATAGCCATGTAATACTTTTCACTCTTTCATCCAAGGATGTTGTCGCTCTATACAAAAGTCTCCGGAAACTTTTGATCCTACATCTTCCTTCTGATTAACTTCGGTCGTCTTGAAGATGCTGGCATCCGTGGGTCTCTCACCCAAGTGCTCGCTGTGTGCTTCGGTATACCTTGCGCGCATAACCGCAAGTTCGTTGAGGTCCTTCGTCTGGGCTTCTTCGTCCACCTTGCGATATGCTCGTAGACTGCTCGGTGCGCTACCAATAGTACGGAGAGCCCAGTTACTGTTGCCGCTCCCCGAACCTTTGGTATTTTGTTGGCCCCTAGGCGCTAAGGATACGCGGGACCAGGAGCGCCACGAAGCAAGTGCCCGGGATGCCAAACTGTTCTCCGAAAAGGCCTTAGGCACCGCAGGCACGCAGAAGACAAGTAGAACGCATGTCTGCTCTGGTATCACCCACATGAATACCTTTCCGATCACATAGGACGCATCAAATGTCTCTTGTAAGGTCCTTGGGTAGAACACATCCACGACGGTCGTCTCCACACGGCCAGCGGCGCAGACGCAAGCTCTGTACAAGTAGTCATTCTACGTTAGCTTATGCTTGTATGGTAAAAGGGGTAAGTAAACCTGTGAGGTGCCATATAAATGACTATACGTACAGCAAACCGACGGAGAAAACAAGAGATACACCAAGCTTTCGTTTCCTATTCATCTGCAATGTCCAGATGATTCCTTGCGGCAGAATGAGAATGAAGGTATCAAGGGCGAGATTAAACGCAGCAATAATAATGTCCCGAGGCCTTTGCGCAATACACGTACCCGAAACCCAGAACTTCCAAGTTCGCTCTAGGGGAGTGCATGTAAGGAAAACGCTGATGATACTGCCGACGTAAAATAAGATATTAAGGACCATCAAGAAACGGCAAGCCCAAAAGAATGTATCGCGCGTGTGATCAGGTGCAAAGACACGCGCCCACTCAAGTAAGATGGCTGTCTTAGCAAATATCAGGCTTAGTTGGTAGACGAGGTCCAGGATGAACACGATCTTGAGGTAGATATGTTAGTTAGAAAGAGCTATCAGCGAAACGGGTAGACAAACATATGCCTGGTCGGGCAGTGTGTATGCTCGGAGATCCCATTGATGTACGAAGAAGCCGATTGTCGTTAGGAAGTAAAAGTAGCACCAAATGGTTCCAATATAGCACCCCTGTGGTAATAGAAATTGTCAATAAGGCGATCCTCAAATGTCCATAGATGCACGTACCAAAGCGCAGAGCCCTAGGACTAGAACCGATGATTAGTAAAGTGTAGATGTCTTCGACCTTGCCTTGGATACGTACAGTCCTCGATGTGAAGCTTCTTGACGATGAAGATACGCGAATACGCACGCATCAGAGCCGCGGTCATTACGAGAAATAGGCACACGACAACGAGTGCAATGGCCCTGCCGTTCCCATTAGGCGGGTTGTCAAGATTCTGTACTACTCCCTCAGGTGGTATGGCAGATGGGCCGTTCAGAATAGCCTGCAGCACCTCAGGTGAAATTGAATCTCCCATTTCGTTATTCTCTGCTAAGAGTGAAGTATACTAAACGTGAGCGTATTAGTCTATAGCGTAAGCAAGAAGAAAATCAGATGAGGTTATTAGATACAAATTGCAAACGACGGCCTTTTCTACTACACACTCCATATACTCTTACACACATGGCCATTCTGCCAATGAGCTCGCCTGTTCCGTGTGGACATATTGTGGTGAGTGGCACGGAAATCCTCCGGGCCTGGGCATGCAAAGACCACCATACCAGCTTTTGGTGGATTGAATAAACCGTTAATTAACCGTAACTTTACCATTTATACTTTTAAACGTTTAAAATTTAAGACTTAAGTAAATAACCAGTAAAATTTTATATTTATTAAGATTATTTTCAACGTTTAAAAATGGTTGGAATATTTAAAAATATTAATAAATTAATTTATTATAAATTAAAAAGCTTATAGTTTAAAAAATAAACCAAATGTTAAACGTATAAACTTTAAAAGTAAAAATAACTTTAAAATTACATACCAAATATGTAATTTTTTTAAGGCATTTTTTATAGCTTTTTTTAAATTTAAAAAATAAGGTTTTTTTAAAATCTTAAAAGTTTTAAAAAATATATATTAATAATTTTAATATATAAATATTTTTATAATTTTTTAAATTTTAAATAAAATTATTAATAATTAATTTAAATTATATTAAAAAGTTTATTAATTTATAATTTTTTAAATTATAATATTAATATTATTATTTTAAAATTAAATTTTAATTTTATAATATTTTAATTATTTTTTAATTAATATTAAAAATTTAATTTAAATATAAAAAATTAAAATAAATTATTTTTTTTATATTTTTTTTTATATTAATAATAATAAAGTTTAGTTTAAATCTTTATTTTTTTTATATTTTTTAAAGATATTTATAAACTTTTTTTAAAAAAAAATTAATTAATATATTTAATATTAATAATATAATTTAAATAATAAAAAATTTAATTTTTATAAATATTATATAAAATATTATTAATTAATTTTAAAATTAAATTAATATTTTTAAAAATTAAGTTATAAATAATATAATATTTAAATTATTGTTTAAAAGATATTAATTTTAAATATTAAAATTTTATAATAAAAATTTTAATTTTAAAAAGTTTATTATTTAAA